TATTTGTATGCAGCTAGCTGCGGCTGTTGTATTAATAGAATATGTCTTCCTCAAAAATACAAAATTCGGGGGCTTCATTCCTAAAGTAGCGGACTCATCCAAACCATAGTGGTGTCCAATCGTAGGGAAGGCTGAATGAATGAGGTGGGAGAAGGGTGGAACTTAGTTGAATCCCCAGGTGCGAACCCGCTATACCTGTAGCTAAGTGCTAACAATAAGTGTTGTGTGGCACCCAGTTCAACTGCATCACACAAACCCCTATTCCCTTGATTCCACCGGCACATGTTCCGCAACTTAAGCTGTTGCCCGTATACAATACAATCAAAAATGATTGCACGAAATCTACTCCACATTTCAGAAAAGCTTGACATTATAGGGATATCTCTATGGACTCTTTGGTCTGGTTTATCGATTTCAAGCCCCCTGGTCCTCAAAATTTGGCAATGGCGCTTGGTATTGGTTTAGGGAGGAGTCCTGCTTACCGCACTGTCCATACTTTGGGAATTGCGTCTCGACGCGCTTGTGAAAAGAGCCAAGAGTCGAGAACTGGCTGGAAATGCTGGTCTCGCGGGAAACTCGGAGGAAGGCTTCGTTCCCTAGGCTTACTACATCTAGAAGAGATACCCTGCGGGCAATGGAGCTGGGGCAGTGGGAGTACTTACAAAGTTTGAATTTTAGGAGGGCAAACCAACCTCTGATACGATCCAGGTTGATCAGAAGCCGTCCAATTGGTCTTGAAGCCCCAATCAAGTTTTCCGTTAAGTTTGTCCTAAAAAAGTGGTACATATTTTGAGGGAGATTCAGGAGGGCTACTTTTAGCCCGGAAAGAGGATGTCGGATTACATGCTCAACTCTTTCTGCAAAATATGGCTTTAACTTCTAAAGTTACTGCCATCTTGACTTCTGCTATCTTTATCAGCTTATCTCAAAAACCCAAGTTCTTGGTTGTTATAGGTCTTTCGATCACTCTTGGCCGGTGTAGTTGTACGTAATTCTTGGAAGACCCTCTATCCACTCTCTAAAGGGCATCCTAGGCCACTTGTTTTATTGGGGGGCTCAGCATTCATGAGCTTTATATCATAGAATCACTCCCCAGATGCTGCTTGGGGTCGGTGCTAGGTTTGCTTGGACTGCGCTCTTGGCTAGGGTTCTGCTAGGCTGTAGTCGACACACAGAGGTTGTAGTGGTCATAGCACTACTTGTGACTTGCAACCAAAATGGAAATGCTGCGGGCGGCATAGTGAAGTGAATTATCAAGGCGAGAATAATCAAACAACCTACTCATAAGGGGCTAGCACAGGTTGATGATCCTATAAACAGGGGGGCAGGTTGCCTTTGCAAGGAAACACAGAGAGCGCGGGTGTTTTTAACATATTTCTTGCAGCTTTTGGGCGAAAGACCCTTCTCCGATCTGTGAATTGGTCTCCAGTTCCCGCATTCCCCGGCTAAGGCCTTTTAGCTAGAATCTATGCTTTCCCCGAGTCTATTGCGGGCAGTGAGGAGAAGAGTTGTATTCATTGTTCTTCGTGTATACACATCTGAAAATGAGCCGGCTTAGTGTTAAGAGGGGGGCGCTCCTAGTGGTGGACATGGTGACGGCGATGGCGAGGACGGGGGGATCAAGTCGAAGATCCCCTGGGAAGGGCAGAATTAGTTGACTTCGTTGACCGCGATCGTTTCAAAGTTGGGATAAAAGGGAATTGTCTACGGGATTCCCTTGAGAACCAACTGTTTCTGTTCTTTATTGCTTTACCTAGTCTTTGTAGGATTTTGTGCCGCTGTGGGATATCTGAGTGCGGGTGATGGTTTGTGACTATCCCTTGGCCCCTAAATTTACGAAACTGCGCAATGAGACAAGACGCCAAGGGATGCGGTGCTTGTGGAAGCCCAGGTTCTATCTAAATTTGAAATACTCTGTATTATACAAATGTGTGCTTTATATGATTCGGAATAATATAAAAGGGAAAAGAAAAGATTTAATAATCCTATAATATTATGATGTTGCCGTTTGTTGAAGAATTGGGGGAGGGGAACAAGTCGTGGCGAAGGATGACCCAAGTTTGCCGATATCATGCTCACACCCTATGATACGGGGCTCAGCGATGCTAGGGGATGTGTTTGAATGAGCCGGGTAAGTCTCATGCCTACCGCAAAATGTCTATCTATATATTATGATACCTAATGTTACTACTTAGAATGAGGCATTCCTGCTTGGCGCGGATAATAGCAATTTTGAAAACCGGATTTACGACCTTATTATTATAATAGCCATATCCACCCACGGCCTCTGCACTACTTGAGTATCAGCAACCAGCATGTCCCAGAGGTATATCTTAGAGAAATAGATATTTAAAAAATCTAGCGTTGGTCACTATTCGCTGACAGTAGCTGATCATATTCGGCCTTACAGAGGCTAGTTTACTGGAGCACAAGATAGGCAGTCAATTGTCCCCAAATACTGAATGTGTTATCGGAGCTTATACATCCTCCAGAGAAGAGAAACTATAAGCATTGATCACACTGATCTCTAATGACAATATCACTTAGTAGGAAAAAGAACAGCCACAGCTATCTCAATAGTGGTGAGAGATAGATTTCGCAGTGGGCAAATCAGGACCAAGAGTGTGTTAAAGAGTACAGTACAATGTAAACAGATGTCGCCCGAACACGACCAGCCACCCGCACATCGATCGCTGCATAAGAGAAGAGTACTAACTTATGATATGATATGATATTTATGATACATGATAACCTCTCCCAGGGCCTTGCGTTCAACCTTCAAGTCGGGCGCCACAAGTTCCATTCCATCTCCCTTTCCATCTCCCTACACTCTTAAGCCAACCCTAGCATCGAACGATATATATTGCCAGCCAAACCGACCGACCAACCAACCGCGGAAGATATTAATGTCATATCGTATTCAGGATGCCAAGTCACGAAGACGAGAGCCCAGTTTTCAACCCAATTCCAGAAGGGTTTTCAAAGACACTCTCTTTGAAACCCAACGGTAGCGGACAAAAGCACCTCCACATTCGATTCCATCCACCCGCCATCACACAACCCTTTCTCCCTCACCTCATCAACGCGACACCCCAAGCAGATCAGAAAAATGCGCGAATCCTTCCCCCAAAACGTAACCCTCCGTCCCCCAAAACGCCGCCGCCAAATATCATACCCATACATGAACCCTTCCCTCTCACCACCACCACCATCCCCAACAGCCTCCTCGGAGAGCAGAGCACACTACCTCGCCACCCGACCCCCGCACATAACCCACATCATCGCAAAACATTTATGCGCCTTCTCCCTTGCCCTTGCGGAATCCCATGAGGAGGAGCGATTGTCGGACGGGTACTTTGAATTGATACGCATCGCCAACGGGGGTTTTGAGAGCCCAGTGAGTGGGAAGAGGGGGCGGAAGAGGAGGTTTGAGGATAGGTAGGGGCGGGCAGGCGGGATAGTGGATCGTGAGCACAGATGCCCCTTCCTTTTACCTTCCTTTTATCCCTTGCCACGCCTTCTTTTTTTCTTTCTTTTATTGATTTTTCTTTTCCCTTTTTCACCTGGATTGTATGGGCGGTATCATAAGTCAGGTAGTCTTTTGCATCCCATACCCTTTAGTTACAGACCAAGCTCGTTTGACCCTTGTTCCCCCTCATTCCATAAGCTTCTGACAACAAAAACTAATAGAGTACTTTCTATGCTTATAAAATTTTTCATCCCTTCCCAGTTCTCATGTCCTTCTTTCGTTGTGTGAGCGCAATGGGTTCGTTGAGTGAACCCAGACTAAACCCCCTTGGGCCGTGTTGAGGCGAGTTAGGCCTGACCAGTTGCCCCAGTGGAAGCCCAAACTTCCGATAGCATTAGGTGATCAAGATTCGTGAGTTACCGGAATCGATTGGAAATGATTGATTTACTGGTTTCGAGACGTTACGAACACCTGCCGGAGGAGGATACCGTGACGTACCGGTACCCGAGTACTGTCCTACTAACTACCCACCCGCCACAAAGCGTTTCTACAAGGTTAAGGTTTTGTGAGATCTAACGCACAAGTTCCTACGGTATCATGTAGCACGATAACGGTACTCGAGTATCGGGCTAGTTGAATTTATTCCCACCCGCAAGGCAAGGCGAGACCTTCTCCATTCCAATTCCACCCATCCGTCCCCTCATCGCCTCAGAGTGCACTGGAATCACACACATGCAGCTGAGTGCTATGGTGAACCAAATCCAGAAGTAGACTAAAAGGCCGTACCAACTCATACAAGCGTGCTCAAACATTCACGCGGGTACGAGATTCTAAACCCTGGGATATAAAGTTATGGCAATAACTGTCCTCTCCGAACCAAGAAGCCCCCCCCTCCTGCTATCCCCGCCGCATCTCTATGGAATATGGATTTGGTATGTATTCCACTCGCACGAGCTTTCTGCCAGCCCGTCCGCTCCGTCCGACAGTCACTTCCTGAAGCGCGCGGTTCCAGTGATGGAGGCGATTCCTCCCCTTCGATGGGTGATCAAAGTTTCCATCCTCGACCAATACCGGTACCTCCCGAAAGAAAAAAAGAAAAAAGAAAAAATTAGTGAGAAAACTCCGATACAATTGAGTACCATCGAGAGAAATTTGACCATCCGGGTATCGAGAGAGGTGTGGAGAAACCATCATATCTGGGCTTTGACAACTGGACAAGCGAGCCGCACCTGTAAACACTCCAGTCACTACGGTATTCTGCTGGATGTGCAGTATTCGGGTCTTCCTCTCTAGTGGTCAAAAGCAATCTTGGGTACACCGATCGTCGCTCAACACGATAATATAGGACCCACCCTTCAATATGAGCCTATTTACGTCAAATCAAACTTCGGGGCAGATATAGGCTCGCTGCCAATACTCTATCAAGATAGCCGACTGCAAGCGGTGTGAGCGGTTTATCTTTTGGGAAACGCATATATAAAGGGTTGGTCAATCCCTTTCCCGCCTCCATATCCTTGGAGTTGTGATAAAATTTAATGATAACAGAGTAGAGAGAGCTTGAAGCTACTGATACAAAGGTTGGTACAGCTCCCCCTCACCCATCTCCATAGATTCCGCATTTCGATCCCCCATGCCACTCGCGACAAAAGAAATAGTGCACCGAGGAAAGACTAGAGACAATCACTAATACCGTCAAGACATGATCCACAAGCCAGAAGCTGCACCTCAAAGGAAATAGGAAAGAAAATAATGGTATAGTAAACTGTGCCGGCATACAAAATGTACTTTTTCCTTATAATCAACAAAATCGGAAACCAAAAAACACCAGGATATGAAACCAAAACCATAACAAAAAAGGTACAAAAACGCCTCCCACCATCTATACAGGTGAAGCCACTGACTCGCAAGCCAATCGTTTGCCCTCTCCTATAACTCCCTTCTACTTCCTATCCCTTTCTCTCCTTTTCCGGGGCCACTGCTCCCATATCCCCCGCCTTCTCGCCCCACTTGATATTGATACCGCCGAGAGCTCGTGACCAGCTCTTGTCTTTCTTATCCTTCTCCCTCAACTCACGTTCTTTCTCTTCCCTTCTACTTTCCCTTTCCTCCCTTCTGCTTTCCCTCTCTTCTTTCCTTTCCCGGTGCTCGTCTTTCCTCTCTTTATGTTCTTTCTTCTCCCTCTCCCCGTCTTGTTCCTCGCCCTCACCTCTCCTCCTACTTCGTCCACGCTTCGTGCTACTTCCACTCTCAGTGCCCTCACCTGACCTTCTATCCCTCCTCTCTCCCTTCTTCTCCTTTCGTCTCTTGGAAACTGTAGTGCTTGCCGCGCAATCCTCTTGAGGCTCATGTCTGCCGGCCCGCCGCTCCTCCTCACGGCGCTTGATCTCCTTCCGTTCCTTCTTCTCTGCTCGTTTCTTCTCGCTCTCCTCCATCTCTTGCCGAGCTTCTCGCCGTCTTCGACTAAAATGAACATTGCTCGCCGAGTCGTCTGGACTGAGCAGGATACTTTTGCCACCATCCCACTCTTCCACGGGCACAAGTGGTGACAGGAGATCGTCTTGCTCATCTTCGCCTCCCACGGCTACATCCTCGCCGCCATCGACAACGGTATTGTCACCGCCGTATTCGCTCTCGGGTGCTTTCTTCTTCATCCTCGTCGCGATGGCGTCTATGCGTTCTTTGAGTGCTTGTCGCACAATGAGTGCGCGGTTGTGAAGCTCCGCCAGCTCGTCGTCAAGAGTGTACATGACACGAGCAAGTTTCTTGTGGAGATCCGTAATACAGCCGAGCTCTTCCTCTTCGTCCCTGGGCACAGCATTAGTGCTTCCGTCAAGAAATCCATCAAAACGACCAGAATTTATCAATTCCATCTCAGCATCGGAGAGTCCCCCAATAGCCGCCAGCATGGGATGAAGTTCGACGTGCAAGAGGAGATATAGCGCTACGATTGGTTTTGTGATTGATACTGCTGGATGCTGAGGATATAGTCGCATGAGCGCCGCCCTGGTTGATGCAAGATAGGCATGGTCGGTAAGATAAGATCTAAAGACCTCGATTTGAGCGGGGGTCGGCAGAATCCCTTCGATAATCTGAGTGACCACCTCGTCCTCATACTCGTGCTCTACTTCCTCGGGGACCGTGGATACTGTTGGAGATGGAGGAGGCTGTTGCCGCAAGACCTTTTCTACTTCCTCCAGCCATTCCTGCACTTTACCCGTTCCAGACTTCTCCCTTACGCCAGCTACAACCGACTCGGCGAGCTCCTTGGTTTGTTGAGGCGCTTGAAGGCCCACTTCGGAAGCCGGTTCGGCACCACTTAGAATTGTCGCAGTATCAATATTTCGCTGGATAAGGCCCTTGACCGGAAGAACACAGAGACAGGGCTTCTGCTCGTCACCGCGAATGTACTCCAATATGTCGGACCAGTCGATCCCTTCCACGCCGACTTCCCGATTGAATACGCCGCCGACCTGCTGGAGCAACTTCCGAGCAACGCTTCGATAACCAGTACCGACCGCCATACTGCCCCCGTTGGAGAGGATACCGAGGTAGGATTCCAACAGATAGTTCAAGTTGCCAAAGACGTCGGCGACGGGGAGCTCGGTTTTGGGGGAATTGGTGAGCGAGTGGGGATCCTGGTAGGGATGAAAATTATCCGAAACTGGGACATCCAAAGCGCCATATGGGATGAGATAGTCTATGGGCTGTCGTCCCAGGGCTTTGCCCAGCTTTGTCACTTCTCTCACGGAAACAGTGGATGATGATGAGGATGTTGAAGGCCTTCCAAGAAGAGTGCCATCCTGTCCGGGTGCCAGGCTCCTCGACGGCTGCAGTGGAGGGAGTGAAGGGGCGTATTTAGGGGCCGATGAGCGAACGGACTGAACAACCGTTGACCGTCTCGTTAGCGGAGGGGAAGGCGGGAGCGAAAATGCTGGTATGGGATTTGCGTTAGCGCTCGCCGGGCGTACTATGCCATCCTTGTTCATTGCCCGGGATAGAGTGGATGGCACCGGCGTTTCGAGAGCCTGGTATCGCGGGACGGGAGCCGGGGTAGGTTTGTGTCTAGGGCTTGGGCCCTCGCGCTTCTGCTGTTGTGGAAGCTTAAAAGGCATATCTGCTCGCTCCGAATGCGCTGGAGTGATGTCAATTCTGGGGGGTGGTGGAGGTGACCTGCTTGGGGCTGATGGGCTCTGGTCGGCCGCAGATAGAGAAACACCCTCGTGTCCAAGATCTTCCTCTTCCTCTTCCCCAATATCAGCACTTGAAAGTGTCGTCGGGATAGAGTTTGTCGCCGGCAGTGTTGGTAGAGTGCCAAAGCCCTGCGAGACCAATACGGGCGAGCGAAAGCCTACTGGTTCGGCGGATCGAGGACGGGTGTAGGGCGGCTTATAAGACGATGGAAGCCTTTGGCGGGTTGACAAATGTGGCGGGTTGGAGCTGCTGGATGAGAAGTCTTGATGGGGGGCGGTGGGCTCGGCGGTGGGGGGAGGAGATATTGGGGAGGAAAGAGGGGAGAGGGGAGATGAAGTGTGAAGGGAGTTTTGCAACATTTTCTGTAAAAATGTAGTTTAGCCCTTGCAAAGATGTATGCAGGTTAGATATCGGATTGCGGAGGAAGTCTATGGTAACCCTCCGGCGCGGGAATGGTGGAATGGCCAATGCGTTGCGGAATGACCAATGTGAAGAGGTATGGCTGTGAGGAAATGCGGCTTGCCACAATTTTACTGGGGGGGAGAGCTGGATAAAAAAAGGCGGGCTGTTTGATTCGACACGGTAGGAATGTTTTTCCCTAGCAAAATTATGACAGGAGGATTAGTCGGTTGCGAGTGAGAGGGGAACAAGTATTCGGGCCTAATTGCAATGGAGGGCAAAGTGGTGTATGGAGGATGGATATGAGAGGGGAAGATGGTGGGGGAGTATACTCGAAGAGAGAGCTACCGTAGGGAAAGAGGAGAGGGGAGAGGGGAGTCATGGAGGCAGGAGAAGGAGCAGGAGTGGGTGGATGAGGAAGCCAACATACCCCCGTTCACTGAAAATGTGAGGGTGGCTATCGTCGTAGCGAATTACGGGCCGCGGTTGCCACTCACACTTTTTCGCTCGCTTTCAGGTGGCCCAAACTTGGGGAAAAGCACGTCCGGGTTCTATGGTGTGTGAGCAGAGGGTACCGGTACAGTGTTTGATGGTGAACAGTGGCAGAGAGGGGACCAGGAGTGAAAATGAATGGACATTCAGGAGAGCAGAAGAGATGATATAAAAAGGGAGAAGGGGGAAAAGGAGTAGGCTGGCTTACAGGAGTGATGATGGGTATGAGAAAGAGTACGATACTGTGCAACCGTGAGGATAAGGCTTGAGCAGTGGCTGAGGCAGCTGGCAGTAGGCGGTTCGCTCTTGGAGCCTGGCACCTCGAAGAAGATCCTTCCACAGCTTTCTTACCATACTATTCTACGTATGATACCGGCACTTGTGTCTCAGTGTTTGGTGTTGAGTGTGAGCAACACGGACCATTATTACCCTGCTCGGCCACACTTCAGGGCACGGCCAACAGGGAAAAAGTCGTCTAGACCTCCGTATTTGGGAAGCAGGTGAGGGAGCATCACACTGTCACAGCATTGTCGGATTCGTGGCAGCGGTGATCCCTTGTCCTTCCTCCCTTGTGTTCGCAGATGGCAAAGGTTCCCTCTTCTTCCTCAAGGCTCTCAAACTTCCTTATGGCCCCCTACCTTCCCCGGGCCCCGGTACGCTCCATCATGGCACCAATGGGCTACGGAACAGCACAGCAACTGTAGCAATGGGAAGGGAAGCCGAGCGTGGTCCAGATTCTGTACTCGAGTATGGTTCTCTCACTCTTGGAAAACTGAAATCCTATGCATGGTACCAGTACCAGTGCTGTACAAGTACCGTATGGTACCCGTACAGTGCCTGTTGTTGCCCCTGACCTCGACCCTGGTTGTGTAAGTACCAGTGTTGCATTCCAAGTTACAGCTTCCAGCAGAGCACTGTCTGTACATCGTACTAGTACAATACAGCGAAAGGTCCAAGAATAGGAGCTCCTTTTTTCGTCCACCCATTTATTCATTCATTTATCCAATAATTCATTCGTCTACCGGTACCGTATTCATCTATTCATCTATTCATTCACAGTATTTGTTTTCTCCTCTTCTTTCCTTCCTTCTTCCGGCGGCGACGCTTGTGCACGACACGTTGGCAATTTGGCTGGGCGTTGTTGTGCTGTGCGTTTGTTCCCATAAAGATAAGGCGATGCACAGATGCAAGGAGGATGCCACACCATTCTCTCCCCTCTCCTCTCCCTCCTCTCGCCCTCCCCTTGCCCACCCGCTCGGGAGCCTCATCTGTGTCATCACCCTCACGTGCCGGAGAATCTATCCTTCTCTGCCCCCAACACATGTATCATTCGTCGCATCGCAAAACAAACAAATTCCCATTATCTGTGTGGTCCATACAAACAGTTCGATTGACGGGTGTCCATCACCCCGCTATCTAGATTCGCAAACCTCGCCATCCCCCTCATCTCTTCTTCCTCTTCCTCCTCCGCCTCCTCCCACCAATCAATGACATCAGTAAGAAACCAAAGGCGCACCAGTATCCCTATGATACATTACCTCCCACCTCACCCTACTATGATATTTCCGCCACTTCACTGCACCTCCCCCTCCAGGAGGAGGAGGAAAGCTGATATCACCTACACATGCAACTTCGCCACGATGAAGATGCCCTATCATGCACCGCATTGATTATATTACTCTGCTCTTGTACGCTCCGGTTAGACTGCGGTACAATAATTTCTTATCCACCCAACCATCCGGGCCAATCGCTTCTTTCCGAGGCCCACTCCACCGACATCATTGTCCGCCTTATTGTAAATCGAAAGGAAACGGGTAAATCGCGCGTGGGAGGTGGTGCATAGCGGGGTGCGTTTGGACTGGAACGGAATTCAATTGTCGCATCCTCCCCCCATTGTCCCCCACCCCTCGTGCTAATTATGCTATAAGGTGATTTTTCCTTCTTTCTGGGAACCCCTCACCACTCACGCAGGGCCTGTATTGGTTTCACCTTGATTTCCGCATGCAGTACTCGAGTACTGTACGAGTACTGTACGAGTACTGTGCTAATACATTATTACTTTTTGATTGTAACGCGTTTTAGCGTGCCCTAGCCGTCTAGTCTAGTTTGTTGCGGCGCTCCGTTTGTTTTATTATAGCCCTGGGCTATACATATGCAATTCATCGCCGCCCCCTCCTCCTCCGTCCCTTGCTGTTGCTCCTCCGAGCATCCGCATGCCTTCAATCGGCGCTCCCCAAACTCGGGTGAGTCCCACACACAGCAGGATCTGTTATTCCCGCACCTCCCCCCTTCGCCCCCTTGGCCCCGCTGTTAGGCCTACCGGCAACACTACCGGTATTCCCCTTCCCATCCCTCTCCTCCGTTTGCATTGGAGGCAACTCGCAAGACGGGCGCGAGAGGCCTGGAGATGAGCCGGGTATCTGCTTTCGGTATCGTTTGCCGTGACTACCTCGGGCCCGTTGTCATGACCATTCCAGAGCGGTTGTCCCTCCGTGGCGGTGGGGTGCGTGCGGAGGGGGTTGCGGGTAGTGGTCCAGCAAGCTCAAGTCACTCGTTTCAAACGTGATTCCTGTTCGAGTGATTTTTTATGCGCTCCGTTTGTCGGCGGGAGCGTGCAGCATCTCGGTGTCGTACTGCCCTATACGGTGCCCTAGCGTACCGATCGTGCGCGCGTAATATCGTAGTGCCCGCCTTCCTCGCTGCATTCCATCACGAGGACCCCCACTAACCAACCCACCAAAAAACCCAAACAACCAATTTGAGCAAACACGAACCTAACTGCCAAGATGGAGCACACCAAACAAACCGATTGCGGCTACAATTGCGGAAGTGTCTATCTTCTCACCTTTGTCCTGGCGGCATTCTTCCTGTGGCTGGCTCCCGCCAATATTTTTTTGGGCCAACGTTTGGCTTCCTTTTCACCCTCCTCTCTCCTCCATTTTTCTGCAACCATCCCAACAGGACTGCAGGATACGCCCGGGTGTGAGGGATCAGCGGAGGAGTATGCGCTTTTCCTGCAATGGTTGGAGTACCATCGCCGTACGGGGAAGTATCCGCCCGGGGAGCTTCTTCTTTCCCCAAAACCCCTCCCGAAGAGTTCTTACTCCCCACGCTATTCCCGCCCGCCTTCCCCTTCCCCTTCTCCAGCTGTCCCACCCTCGTCATCCTTCCACCCTTCCCCCTCCCCACAATTACCACCAGTATTACCATCCATCAAATCCGAAGCCTCTCCAACTCCGCCTCCCCCCGCTCTACCCACTCCCCTCTCCTCACTACCACCCTCAAAACCAAGCCTCAGATTCGCCCCAGGGACCCTAGTCCTCCGGCGCCGCCCGTCATCAGACTTCTTCGATGCCCAGGACAGACAGCACCCCACTGATGGCCCGTTTATGCTGCTTCGCACCCACCCGTTCAGTCCTACCACCTGGCAACTGGACATCCCGACCGGGTCCAAGATGCCGCTTTGGCACCCCGAGGTATCACTGGTCAGGTGGGATGAGGAGGTCAAGGAGATTAGATGCTCTAGGGAGATGAGTGGCGGTGATGGTGGGAGGGAGGTAAGGGTTCACATCAAAGGGTGGGGGTGTGAAGATGATGTTTGGGTCAGGGAGGATGACGCTTGGCTTGGAGAGGGAGACGCGGGGTATCTTAGCTCTTTGTGACATCAGGGTGGCGGTATTCGAGTGAGCTTTTGTTAACGTGTTTTGCCGGTCTCTTCCAGCCTATCATCCCAATCGTTAAATATCATACCTCTACAAATGTAATTTAATCCACAACTTTACCAAGAAAGCAGAAAATAGGATACCCCCATACCGTATTGAATTAAGCTGTCATATAAATTCCCACATTCTCAGCAATTTATCATCTATAATACCAACTCTCGCGCCTACCGTACCTACTCGTTAGTCTGCCGCTACTAAATTTACCGGTAACTTAGTATGGTGCCTTATCACCCCACATCCCAAACCATTGGCTCACAACAGCCCCAGCATGATCGAACGACCCAATCCCAACCACAACCTCAACAACAGAAGTATGATATCCTATCTATCACACCCGATCGCATGATCGCATAACGATAGGAAGTCAGAATAAGGTTGGCTCGCCGACGACCGTGTCAGTAGACACTTGATTCCTGTTCTCTTTTTCTTTTTTCTTTTTTTCTTTTTTCTTTCCTTCTTCCCTTCTCTCTTTTCCCTCGTTCTGCCACACATACGCTCAGCTCCCCGGACGAGATATGGTATAATAGATCGAAGAGGCTCATAGGATATCTTATCACGAAGTAATTCAGCTCGCTATCTATGAACACCTCGTGACATTGAAATGGCTATTTTACCAATGGTGCTATGAGCCAGAATATACCGATCCTAAGTCTGAATCAAAAATGCGCGATTCTGTGGCGTGTATTGAGATTTGCTGCTTTCAGATGAGCTCCACCTGGTCACTCTAGCGGTTCTGTTTTGATGCGACGGCTGGTACTGGAGTTCGGTAGCGAGCCAGTGGTAAGCTAACCTCTGAACCTCGTTCCCATTATCTGTCCGATCGGTGGAGGATTTGTACTGTGGGGTTGGGTTATTAGGGATTTGGTTGTTATTGGGTTGGCGGTACTGTAAAGGTTTTTGTGGAGTTTCGGATTTTTTTTTTTTTTTTTTTTTCAGCCAGGGGTTGGGGGCTATTGGGCGGGTTAGTTGGTTGGTTGGTTATCTTCGTGATGGCACACGAAGGATATATGTGGCGGTCGGAACAACATGCAAGCCACGATTGTGGAGGTGCTTCGAGTGAGTATGTGTGATGGATGGGTGTCCAGGTGGCGGGGAGTAACTTGACAGTGTACTGGGTGATAAGGGGAAGTGGTGTCATAAGTTGATAGGCGCTTCAGCAAGAGGTCATACTTGGAACGGTGCTTTGAGCGTCAGAGAGTTGTTCGACCTGGATTATGCCTGTATCGCATTGTTCTAGATCCCCTTTTCTGTTAGGCGCGCTGGTGGGTTTTGTGCTCACGGAGCGTGAAATAAGACATATCTAAGGTTTCTGATGTTTTTGCAAAGTGTATGTTAGTTCAGTCGGCAGCGAAATGCTCGACCTAGCGACAAAAGCACTCAGTAGAGTATCTCATCGCTTCTGGGTCAAGCTGAACCTTCTATACTTTGTCGCCGAATCATGTGCATGTCTCAGTTCTAGTGCCACCATAACCTAACCTAACCTACGAGTACCTCACCACTGACCCTGCTGTAGTCTATGCCTAAATATGTCGAATATGCCAATGCCTAACGATATCAAGTTGCGTGCATCTACCTTGCTGCAGGCACCTATCTTTACATCTGCTACGATTGGTCCAGGAGCTAATGTGGTGCTACCATGTAATAATAAAGTGCAGAACGGTATTAAGCAATGTAATGATGGATTGTTCTAGCTGCATGGAAAATTTTTCAGTAACCCAGGTTTTGATTCGGAGGGGTAGGGGTTAAGGAGTGGGAGGGGAGGGGAGGAAGTAGTGATGGCTCTATGGCGCGACGTTTGATATTGGGCCTTTACACATGAGCTATGGTAGGAGGGACATAGTGTACGTTTGATATACGACACAGCTTATTAGTAGGCAGTGTTTCAGCAACGGACTAGTCAGGAACTAGCCCAGCCATCCTGGCGATACACTACTACATCGTAAGTTAGCATCTTTCTAAACGGGGATTCACTAGACTATTGCCATTTCCGCGCCCCCAGGGCGTACTGACGAAACATCGCATGCCACAACACTTTTGTACCGGCCAGTGATTGTCACAAACAACGACATCGAACCTTTCGATACGATACCGCACCCGCGCCCTGGTGCTCGTATGATGCGAGCTGCAGATCACACGAATATCCTCTCCCCTTCCTCCTTCCCGCTGCCAATCCGAAATATCACTCATGCCTGCCGCGCATTAACAATGTAATCATGACACCGACTAGAGCATGTCTCAGATCTCTAGCAGCATACAAGACTATCACGGATCATTGGTGCCCTGTCGGGGTGTCTTGATATATGGCGCCGGTAAGCCCACTCTCTAGATCCCTCACCGCTCTCGCGATTATTGCCCGCGGCATGCAAATACCCTCCCTTACCGAGCACGCGGGGCCAGCAAGCTATTCAACAGAAGGACAGGCAGACGGACTTGACGGACTTGACGACAACTTGACGCACGGGCTGGCTAACGGACAGATAGACAGCCGTATGGAAAGCTGGCATATACACCCTGGAAGGGCCATTACGCAAACTTTTGATCCCCATCACGCCATGAACGTGTGAGTTGTCAGTTAGGCACTGGAATACCCCTTTCCTTCCTCCCTCCCTTCCTCCCTTCCTTCACCCACTCCTTCTATCTCTCTTTCATCTATACACCCTCCCTTTATTTCTCCACTCCTCCCTCCCTTCCTACCGGCACCCTACTCCCCTCCTGAGACCAGAGGTGAAGAAAAGAGGAAAGCAATTGAACCCCAGAAACCGAAAAACACCCTACCCTACCACACCTACCCCGCCACACAATTCCCGAGTGACGACTCATGATACACGTCATTCGCTTACCTACTGCGCCGCAGATTTCCATATCCGCGTTCGCCACCTGAGGAAATAACACCGCCACGCCTGTTTTTCCTTTCTTCTTTTTCGATTGCTGACTTAAGTTATGATGAGTTAACGTATCATGCCTTACCAGATGATCTGGGCGGGCGTGGGATCCCGACCTATCGCACTCGTGACGAATTAGAAGCTTGGTTGCCTACTTGCTTCCGGTTTGCTTCCTGGTTTGAGTGGTTGGCTGGTTGGTTGGGTTCGGAATTTTTCTGTTTGGATGGGTTTGATATTCGACTGGGGAAGGAATGGAGGTTTGTTATTGGAGGAGTGAGTCCTGGATAATAACGCAATTGCATGGAGTGAAAACGGACCTTTTTTCTTTTTCTGATATTTTTTCGATATTTGATTTTTTTCCGATTTTAGAGAGTGCGGTGATTGTCGCTCTGGGCGTTTTTTTTGGTACTGTACTCGTAGGTTATTGGAGTGTACGAGTAGTTAGTGGGTTAGTTTGGGGGAAGATAGTAGTTCGTCTTAGTGTGCCATACTAACTATAAGATACGGTATCATACGCTTCTGTGCGGGTTAATTACCGTAATTTAGTTTATTTGCATGAGCGAGGGGTTTTGGCTTCCTGCAGGTTGTTTTCCTTTTTGTTTTGATGGTGTTTTGACTTAAGGAGGGTTTCTCTCGTGCGTTGAGCTTAACAAACGATATCTTTCCGTGAGCGGGATCCCATGCTAGCCCTACGCCAATATCGCCCTATGGTACCTCACCAAACTTCACCCGTTTCCCTTCCATCACAAATCCTCACCCATGTTGCATGAACATCCCAGTACCGTATCGGACCGACCAATAACCACTCCGAAATGCTTATAACCTCCTCCTCCTCCTCCACCCCACGCTCCTCACCCTTCAAAAGTATTTCCAACAAAACCACTCTTTCAAGAACACCCCCCCCCTCGCAGAGCCCGGAACCGACAATCATCGTGCTTGGGAGAAGGAGAAGAAGAAGAAAGATGGAAATAATGAAACATTTGAAGAGCACCCCAATAATGCTCTTGGTAGCAGTGATTGTCAGCGTAGCCTACACCTGGCTGATAATAATCGTGGTCAACAGGCTAACCTTCGACTGGAGCCTCGCAGAGCCCGACGTCTGCCCCAGGCAGGAAGACCTGACGAGGGGTATGGACAGGAGCCTGATTAGGGGCGCACCGGGAACCGATACTGATCCTCGTATGACAAAGGTTAAGGATTCTTGATGTGCGGTCGTGGTGGTGGTGGGGGGAGGGTACCGGGGAGCCGGGGAGGGATGGAAAGGGGAGGAAATGGTAGGGGGAGGGGGGGAGTGGAGGGTTGCAGTGTGTAGTGTGTAGTGTGAAGTGTGAAGTGTAAACTGTAGACCGCGTTGTTAATGAAATTACCCTTCCGTGGTTAACCACTTTGATGTCGCCTTGTTGGAGCGCTCGCACGCGCGTGAAACCAAATTTTTCGCGTGCGAAATTGAGACTCGACGGTCTGTGGGGCGTGCGTGGGGTTTTTGCTATGATGTGATAATATTATGAAGATTACTCAAGCAACTCGAGTATGATGGTTCATGCGGGGTTTGGAGCCGCTGACGAGGTTGTGGTTGGGGCGTGATGCTATTACAAGTACGGTATTGTACTCGAGCATGCGCGGGCCGGTTGGGAATCGCGTGCTTTGGGAGCGAGGGATATATGATATTTGGGCGATGAGTTGGGGTTCTACCGTTACCATTATGATGTTGTAGATATTGCGCTGTGGGGTAGGTTCGCGCGGCCGTCTGTTCTAGACTTCTCTATATATTCCTACTAGAGTATCATATTGCTTGCATGCTTGTTCGCCTTGTCGGGGTTTGGGCACGAGCAGGTCATTTGGGCGGACCGGTGAAGGAGTGATCAATTACAGGGCGGTATGATAACTCGTATTCCTAATTGCGCCCCGAGCCCACGGATGCGAGTTTAGGGGATGATCCTATCCTAAGATACCGTTCTAGTGTGCAGTCGTTGGGATAGTCAGTTGAGAGATGGGGAGATGCGTCGTAGTTCCTTAACGTAGGGATAGGATGTCCTGAGCGCCAATTGCAAGGTGTAGATAAAGATATAGAAGAAGTTTGCGTGGGGCTTTTGAGAACAGGTGTCCATATCTCGATCCCAGCTCCTTAGACTGCCTGTTAGTTAGCATTTTCTTCTCCAGCTCACAGGGTAGCTTAAAGGAAGGCCTTTCCAGTGATTTATACCGCGCCTCTATGTCCTTATTCCCGAGCAACGCCATCTCGCGCCCGGGACAAGTTCCGAAAGCAGCTTTCGGGACTTGAGCTCATTGTGTCGTCCCTTTTAAGGACCCCCGCACCACAACGTTAGCCTACTGCACCACCACCCCACCCTACCCCATTCAGTCGTGCGGAATAAGCTACGGTAGTTCACTCTATCCATCCATCGACGCCTAAAATTTGGAACCCTAAGCTTCAAAAACTACCAAAAACGGTAGAAAAGTGTTGTGGAAGTTCCGCGATAGAGTGGTGTGCCTTAAAACACAACCACAGGCCGACCTCTGGATGAAAGCGAGTGATTATCCGTGATGATATTAATTAAACCTTAATCCCTATAACACCAATGCGCAGAGTGGTGCGGCGCTCTACCTATAATGAAACCATCTTCTTTTCTTTTCTTTCATTTATTTTGTTCATATTCTTTTCGTATATACAATTGAGGTGCATGGGTGCCTTCCTGCTATGGATGTTGTCCGCTGTGACAATACATTGATTTCTTTTAACACATGAGTCTTGTGCATCCCCAGCACGCCCTATCCTAGCGTTCAAACACTAAAATTGCTGAACTTCAGGCGTTTAAAGAACTATTCCGTTGGTGATTAGCCTATCGCTCAATGGCTGGGACAATACGAGTGGTCGAGTGTGCAAAAGCAGCTTGTGGAGGGTATAATATCTCTGGTGGCTCATGATATATTACACACATGCTCCTGATGTGATACCCGACGAGTATGATTGCCATATCTTCTACCCCTTTTGTAAACTGCTACTTGGGAGTCTCCATCAACTCCCCCTTCAACATGAGCGAGCAAGCAGTCTTCGGGCGCGGTAACTATCATTGACCCAGCGAAAAGCTCTTTTGCAAATGATGGTGGCAGGGTGGATCTCATCAGTTGCGTACAGTATCAGTAGGGAAAACTATCCCTATGCATATCACACTCTCCCAATGACGAATACGATTACCGGTTCCAACGCCTTTTTTCGCTCTTAGAGTTTCCTTTTGCATCGTTGGGTATTTGGGCTGCCGTGCCAGCGTCGCTACTAGGGGGGCTGGGAGATTGAGGGCTGCCTCACTACGGGTAAGGTCGGGGGATATCCTGCCCTGTAGTAAGGTGTCAAGTGCCAAGCTCTAGACCGCACTATTTAAGAACTCGATCGCGATTCCGGCAGTGTGGGAGAGCGTTATCATCAGAGACTACTCTCTCCCGTACCACAGGTGGGTGTGGAGTACGATATGGTGTAAAGGGGTTTACTGAAAGTGCGCTCCAGTAGAAAAAGGAAAGGTGGAGATTAGATATTTATACTTGCTTTGTGTTTTGCAATCATGAACTGAAACTCCACAGGTCCTCAGAATGGTTGAGGGCAACCAATGGAGGAAGAAGGATAAAAAGTTGTTGGAGGTGAACAATCATTCCCTCCCTCGATCCCAATTTCACAGCCCCCAAACGCACATACTGTTGCCAAAGAACACCCACCCAATAAGCACCCGTGAGAAATGAATAGCGCAAGTCACAGGCTACAATACACTTCGCCCGTAAAATTTTCAACCTGGAGGAGCCCGGTAAAGGATTCAGACGTTCCTAAGTACAAATTTCAAAACAGCAAGGGGCAGCGAAATCAAATGAGGGGAATCCAGCGGGTATAACTAATTGCTCATATTATGATGTTTTCAAAAGGTATGTATATGTAGCCGCCTAGCAACAAGTATTCCAATCATTTCCCACAACTTCAAAGCGTAACCCAGCACTCTATCCAACATTCCTAAGAAAGGAAAAGGTGAAAGCAAAAAAAAAATGAGAGATATGCAAAAAAAAAAAATTTAGTGAAATTTCCAGCACCCAAACATCCTGTGCGCCAAAGACTTCCACATGGGGACTGTGACCTCCGCCGTCTTAAACATCCTCCTGCGCTTCCTCAATCTCGACCTCTCGCCCTTGGACAGGGGGCGAAAGTCCCTATTTGCTGCTCTGCCAATCTCGAAATAAGCATCCGTCCGGCCACCCTCCTTACGCGACTTTTCCAGGAAGTCTCTGAAGTCCTGTAAATGCTTTGCAATGATCTGTCGACGAGGTTGAGGTTGACTGGCGAGGTAATCCTCCCTGCGTTGGGATCCGGTAACTCGCGGTTCGGGGGATGCAAGCGAGGGGACAGGGTGTGGGAGGCCATGGATGCTCCTCCCGTTGTATGGATCACTGGTGGGGGTGGCTTGGTCTGTGAGGGTGTGGTGGGGGTGGTTGGGACGAGGGATGATGATTCTGGTGGGGATCTCAGCCGACATTTCTTTCGTGAGGTATTCTCGTGTTGCGGGGGGTTTTTTTTTTTCTGGTGCAGTTGTCTGCTTCTATGGAAGTGTGGCGTTGTTTTGGTGGGGAGGTAGGGGGAGGGAGGATGGAAGGGTGTGGTGGGTGAATGGACTTAGGGATGGACGTAGGGACTGAATGACGAATGGGCCAATGGATGGAATTGATGGATGCTTGAGCTCGGAAATCCGCGGGAGTCAATAGGTTTATTTTGGAAAACCAACTAATAAGCGGACCTAAAAACAAAAGCCTCACCGCCCTCGACTCCGGATGCAGCAGTTTTGGAGGACAATTTCCTGGTTCATGGGATATCATTCGGTGCAAGTTTGGCCGTGAAGGGGGATGGGGTTCGTCACGATCCTGCTTGATAGGCCATTACGATAACCCAGCGCAAAAAAAAAAAAACATAGCATGATAATTATTATTATAAAACATAATATTATTATGTATAACTTATATCCCATGTGTCGCTGCAGTATTCCTGAACACTTCTCTAGCATCCTACCAGTTTCTATTCGTATTTAGAAAGGTATCGAAACAAGAGGTGAAAACCTAAGCTTCCTCTCGCTCTCCCCAGAGCCCCCCAGAGTATCATAAATACTTTATAACAATAAGCAACAACTAGATACCTAAAGACGATATCGACGAGGCGTAGGGCATCTCATCTTATTTCAAGGTCTCCTTCTCGAGGCAGACAATATGCCTAGCCAGATTCCAACACTCAGAGCCACCTTCTTCTGGTCGCCTATATATCATACCGGGCCCAGCACCACACTCAAACCCAATCCCCCATCCAACCCCTCTCTCCTAGAACAAAAAAAATTACCATCCCGAACAACATGATAATATTATTACGCTGTCGTCTATCTCCTCCCCAAAACACCAAATGGTCCCATCCCACACGAACAACTTCCACCCACCCTGTCCCCGTCCCAAGCACCACCGCATCCAGCACCAGCTCCTAACAAAATTCCGCCACACCACTCGATCCACATACACCACACTCCTGCTTAAGAGCCACAATGCCTCCAATCGACTAGCAGTCAGTTTGATAACCCTCAGACTCCACACACCTTTGCCTACTAACTTATGACATCATGCCACTTTAGTATCGTAGCAGAGCATGCCTAGCTAGAGCAGGATGCCTGCCGGGGGCAGTTTAGCTCACATAATATCGTGCCCCTGGAGCTTGAGCGCATTGTGGAAGGTGTGAGTGGTCGTGAATTATCACGCGGGGGCACCCGGCGCGCGGGTTCAAGGGTACGAGCGAAGACTCCAATCACCAGACAAACAGTCCATCGCATCGCAAGCAGATATCACAACGCCCAAGCTCAGACAATCTCATCCAGAACAGAAAAGATAATAATACGAAGCATGTATAGTACATGGCGAGGTCTCAAAGCACCCCATCACACTTTCTAAAGCAAATACCTCAACGCCATAAGATACTAACACCCGCAAAAGAAAAAGAAAACCCCCATCAGACAATTATGTTATGTCGACGATGAAGAAAAGAAGGGGAAGAAGAAAGGAAATAGGTATGATAGCCTAAACTGCAACCAAAACCCCCTCTACGACCCGCCTCTCCCCGCCAACTACAAGATCTCTATGCTTTTGCAATACCTCCTCAATCTCCCTCCTAACTGCTCGCAGGCTCTCAGTCAAATTCCCGTCCGCCTCGATTTCATCAATCTTCCTCCTCTCGGCCTGTAACAGATGAGCAAGTTTCTACCCACCAATTAGCCTACGTAAGCAAGCAGAGTAATTAGGAAGGTGATACAAACATTCACAAACCCGTCGTACCTAACCTCTCTCTTAACCTTCCCTTCTAGTGCTCCCCCCAATGTGGAAACCTGCTCCCGGACACCGGCAATCATCTCCTTCCACACGAGCATCTCCTCCCCCTCTTGCTGCAATCCCCCAACTTCAGGATCTCCTGCAAGGATCTTAACCAACCCGTTCGCTTCTCTGAGGTCTTCTTTCGAGCCACGGCGCAGACATGCTTGTAATCGTGCGGAGTAAGCTAGTTCCTGGCGGCGTCGGAGTTCGGATTTTGAATACATTTTCTGTCGGCCCATTGTTAACACTTTTGGTCGCCCTAGAGGTGTAGGTGGTAAAAAAACAAACCATGTAAAGAACACCCGAAAGCTCGTATCCCTTAGCACGGAGGTTATTGCATACTTTCCTAACCGTGGAAAGGTACGGAAGTCCTATGCCAGCAGCTTCAAGAGTTGCGAAGAGTTCGACTAGGCACGCGTGTAGAGCTCGCTCCTCAAGGAGGATCAAAAGTGGTTGCAGAAGCGGAGGCTGTGAGAGGGTTGCTAAGAATGGAACGTCGGAGTAGGAGCAGTAGCGGAGGAGCTAACACTTTCTTAAGCATAGCGAAGGGAAGGAAGGAGAGGAATCGGAGGGACTTACCTCAACAGCCTGAACGGCAACATCACCGCCTGAAGCGACACACTCGATCAGTGCCATCGCGGCTTCATATGTTCTAATTTCGCTCTCATTCATTAGTATTCCACGGAGGGCCCAGGCGGGACTCAAGGATAGATGGGCAGACAAACGTATTTCCACCCCTCTCCCGAACATATTCGAGTACCTTCGCCCGAGCACGAACACCAGATATACTACTCGAGCACGCGTTCGCTTAATCCCCATCACCATCATTAGCTCACTCTCCCTTCTCTCCCTATTTCCATTTAGCAAGAGGGCACGTACAAATTAATTGCGCGAGCTGCGATGCCCGCGGGCGCAGATGGTGCGAAGTCAATCTGCGAGATAACATTGCTGCTAGTTGTAATGGACGGTGGTATGATACGGAATCTCTCCTCGTTCTCTGGCAATCAAGAAATGTATATCATAATCGAGTATGGAAATCTAAAGAGTGGGTGTTGAGAAAGTTGGGTTGGGGGGTTCTGAGGCTCCATTGCAGGTTGCGTGTTGCGTTACCCTACCGGTACGCTACCGTACTTTGGAAACGATGGGGGTTGGGGGGCGGTCTATCGAGAGCTTAGACTTCCATGCGTTTCGCCCTTGCGGCAGCCAGAGGAACAGAAGTTGGGGAAGTGTGCCAAGATGGATTTATAAGGACAAATCAACAGACAGTAGAATGGGTGAGCTGCCCTTCACCATCGGGAGCTGAGGATGTCACTGCAATTTTTTAAAATTTATTATACAATCGCCCCCTCGAGTAGAGTAGGTGAAGCGGATTGAGTTAGCCCAGAGTAACACATTAGACTACGGCGTAGCTGGGACAAGGAAACGACTCGGCACCACGGCCATCACTAGTGGCAGGGAGCGACATCAACATCCTTTTCACTTCAAACGCTAGACTAACAAGGGAAACTGACTTATCCCTGACTACCAGTCCTCCAACTCCTACCCGAGCACAACCACCCATTGTAAGGAATGCGGTGGCCCAGAAGATCCACTGATGGATCAACTACCCTTACCACCCGCCTACCAACCAATCGACCTAGTTTAACCCTCCTGCGAATGGCAATACTGGTAGATGATAGATTAAGCCCGTCCCAGTGTCACATCATATAATACGTCACTTCGGGGGGGTGGGGGACTACTAGAACACAACTACAAGCTACTGTGACCGAAAGGCCAACTGCCACCTACCCCCAGAAAGCGAGAGTACAATTCCGTATACCAACCCCGTGTTCTCTACACCCACAGATATCCCGCGTGAAATAAAAGAGAGAATAAAGGAATAGAAAACAGCAATAAGACAAGCAATGATCGACTGCGACTTGTTTCTCTACTGTAGTGTGGAGCGGAGTAGAGCAGAGTAGGGAAATTTGGCAGAATGGAATCAAGAAAGCAAGAAATAAGAACCAGCAACGGAAAAGACTCATGCAGCCAACGCGCTAAACCTCAACCTTCTGATCGCCCGCTGTGTTTCTAACACCCTCTTGTTTCGCTTCGTCAGCTCTCTCATCTCCGGCCTCGCCAGTCCCGATAGCATCCTCAGGGTGCTGGTCGCCGGCGATAGTTGTTGGGATCGTGTCCTTTTCCTCCTTCTCTTCTGCTTTCGGGCTAGGGGGGGCAGCAGTGGTATCAAAGTCCTTACTCACCGCAGGGACCGTTTGTCGGCCAGTGCCGGTGGCCCCGGGGAGAGTTGTTGCCGAAGGAGTTGTTGCCATCTCCTCCTTCTTGTCTTCGGCCATTGGTTCGGGTTTGGTTCCTGTTTCTGACTCGCCTGCGGAGCTAATCGTTGACTCTTCGCCCACGTTGACCCCTTCCTCATTCATACTCCATACAGTCCAAACACCAACAATCTCCATCTTGAATGCTGCGGGGTCGGCCTTGGTCTCAGTCTTGGTTTCGGCCTCCTTGGCGGTTGGCAACTTCCTTCCTCTTGGCCCTCTGGCCCTGCTCTTTCGCACATCACTCAGGACCTCCATTGGCTTATCTTCCTCGCCTACAGGATTCTCCTCCTGCTTCGGAGCTTGAGGACCTAGCTTCAGCCGTTGATCGAGGTCGTTCATGAAGCCGGCTTTCAGAGCAGCAATTTTTCCACCAATCCCTCCTGTCCTAGGAGGAATAGCAGGCTTCGGCTTTGAGCTAACTGGCGGTGGGTTGCCGGGTGCTACACCACCACCTGACCCACTTGATGATACTAAAGGGGACTCGACTGACGGGGAGTGAGTCATGGCAGTTGCTGGTCTGTTAGGCCGTGCGAGAACCTTTGGCTTAGGACGGTCGGGAAGGCCTGGCGGTGCTTTCTTATCGGGGCTAATTGGCGCGTTTTCTAGGTTGGCACTCGATGTAGGAATTGAATCGCCGGTTTGTGAAGGTACTTTCCTTGAAGGACGGGTGGAAGGAACCTGAGGTCTAGCTGGAAAATCTGGTTTGGGTGCACTTGGCCCTTCAATGGGTGCTCCAGTTGTAGGCCTTGTATTGTCCTCCTCCTCCGGAATGGAAGCGATCTTGTCTTCCAGTCGAGTTGTTCCTGTAGTTGTAGCTCTACTCTCATGCTCATTTGTATTCTCTTCCTGGGGATCATTGGATGGAGTGACAGTAGCGCTGAGTTGCAAACTCGGCGGGACGTCCTCCCAGATATCATTACTTGGGAATCGTTTGACCCCATTTCTATCTCCAGAACCAACCGACTCTTCACTCTTTTTGCCCCTCTTTAAAAGTCTGTCTAGGTGCTCATCAGGACCTTCTGATTGCACTTCGTGCCTGTAATCCCCTACTTTCTTCTTTGCGTCTCTATGTCGCTGCTCGAACTCCTTCTCATCACCAGGCTCGTAATGGTCGTGGGGTTGTCCCTGAACATATTCCGGAGTGCTACTAGCTCGCTCGGCGGGCTCTCCCTCCTCTCTATGGCCGTCACGTGTTTCAGGATCTGCAATAGGCGGAGATGATACGATAGCCTGGAGTTGTGCGTGGTCCGGGGCCTCCTCCCAGATATCCTTACTAGGAAATCGATGGCCAGAGCTCACAGAAGGCGGCAAATCCGGATGTTTCAACTTTTCTTTGGTTTTATCAACAGTTCCCGTGACACATTCTTCCGCATCCTCATCTTCATCTTCGGGGAACAATGGTTCGGTCTCCTCCCCGGGTTGTAATGCGATCAATGATTCCCGTAATTCGAACCCAGTATTACTCGGTAAATCCGCAGGCTCGATATCACCATCCTCGTCCTCATCGGCAACCGAACCCGGCCCCGTAGGGGCCACACTATGAGGCCGAGTGTTGGGCATGGAGCCGGGCCTTCTAGGCGGGAGGGGAGGGGAGATAGCCGGCAGCATAAACTCCCCACCGCGCTTCTGAACCTCATCGGAAGCCAAGATAGGATGTTCACGCTCTTCCTCCTCTTCGTCCTCACCCATCATACCCAAAGCAGAGCCAGGTCTAGTTCCGGCTCTAGAATCATGATGGTGGTGGTGATGATACACACCGCCGTGATGCGGGAGTGCGTCCAAATGAATGCTTATTTCCTTGTCCTTTTCATCAATGCTGGTAGAAGAATTTGTGACAATGCCGTACAACGATACGGGGGCATCTTCCGAATCTCTGCGACGTAAGGTGGGCGAATGCCCAGTGGCGGAGGTACCCGTTAGCTGCGGCGAGATAACGCGAGCATACTGCTCGCTGGCTAGATAGCCAATTTCTTCGTCGGGAACTGGAGTAGATGCATCGTTGGCATCACCTAAATCAGGACTCTGCGCAACCGACTGGTTGAGATCGGTGGAGCTCCTGGCTACACATGCACAAAAAACATAATCAGCAACGCTCCCATTGGACAATGTGCTAAAACGTAAAGCACAAGCAGAGACATTAACGATTAACGGTTAAAAACACGACTGGCTGTGATGCGCTCACAACAACGGAAGGGGGGAAGCAATTTAGGGATAATCAACATTAAATCCAGTTGTCGAAACGGAGATTATTATTATTATTTTCATTTCCCCCCCCTCCCCTCCTACCTCCGCCTTCTTTGTTTCTTTTTGTTCAGGAACACAAGTGAAGAAAAAATCAATGCGACAAAAAAGGGTAAAAATTCACCTCATACTTCACGACGAAAGCGATAGCAAAAGAAAAAAAGTGTAAGGAAGGGGGAAAGGTGGAAATAGCTTACTATACGGATTAATCCCCTTCGGTGTCCCATGCCCATAGGCTCCCTCATCCATCTCCCACTCCTCTCTATAAACATGACTTCTCCTCCCCGCACCTGGCGTCACGGCCGGGCTGGGAGCCTGTACATCTCCTGCATTGGGATACATAGGTACTCTCCTTCCAATTTGCGGGATTCCCGAATCGTTCTTCAAAGTGATGCTCGTAGTTATGCCTGAGCCGGACTCCGTTGGCTTTGGTGCTGGCGGCCTTGCGACAGGGGCGTGAAGCTCAGTGGTGGGTGGAATAGTAGTCAGCGCAGGTCCCTCTTGCTCAAGAGGTGATTTTGAGCGTGGCTTTGAACTCGGGCGAGGTGGGATAGAGGGGACTGTTGACCTCGAGGGTCTAGGTGGAATTGAAGGCGGAGCACTCATGATGACGGGATCGTTTTGCGTATAAAACACGTATGACAGGAGGGAGTTTTTTCCAGAGCAGCTTTTTCTAAACAAAAAAAGAGGGAATTCAGGAATGAAAGCAAAGATGGCTAGAGGGAGAAGGAAAACTTTGCGAGCTTAACCTCTCGATGGTTTATTTAGACCGACAAGGCCGAACCTTTTTAAGGGAAGCTAAGCTTTGCCTCTTTCACAACAAGGAAGCGAGGAAGGGAGCAAGAAGGAAAAAGACCACGAAATCTGGAGAGAAAAGAGACGGGGGATAATGTCTGCGGGGTAGAAAAAAAGAACAGGAACTGGTCATTTAAGTACTCGAGTAAGACCAGGTATGTAAGAGGAATCTAGGTGCAGCGGAGGAAAACTAAGCCCAGGCCAAGGTTGTGCCATCCCCGGGAGGGATAATCACAAAAGTCATGAGGACAGCGCCATTTTTTTTCCACTCTATTTTACCATTTTTGTACATTGATCTCACACGGTACAAGGGAATGCAAAAAAAGCGATGAAGCATTTTTGCAGAAAGGGAAAGGAAAGGGCCTTAGTCGTACAGTGCGAGCACCAGCACTGGGGCAGCGGTACATGGTCTGTAACCTCCGAGTGCATTTTTTTCCACTGGAGCCTTGGGCGGCTACCACTAAAAAATAAGTGCATGTGTTGTTGTGCAAGGCATGACGCTGTCTACGGTAACCTATCGTAACTCGAGTGCCGGGTTGACAGGAGGGGAGGGAGTGAGGCAAACCTTTTGTGATCTCTATGCGAGGTAGATAGGCTATTTTCATCCTGATCCAATACGCCTGCACTCAATTGCCTTTCATCGAATCCACTGCCAGGGACGAAGGAACCCGGGGGAGGGTGTGGATAAAGAAGGATAAAAAAGGGGTTGATAGCTAGTTTCCCCACCGGTATGATAGCGGCGTGGTACAGTACGCAGCTAGCTGTGGCTATGAAAGGATTGATACTGTTGGGAGGGAAAAGGGAGAGGATAAAAGAGATAAAAGAGATAGAGGCTAAAACGAGGAACGCCATCTCTAGCGAGGAAACAAGTATAAATGAGAAGTTTCAGCTGATCTACGAGTATGATAGATAATACGGTCCACCCCTAATATAGACACCGGTAGTGCTGGAGATCAAAGGGTGGAAAAAAGGCAGAGAGTAAAGAGTTTAATTAAATATCCTGACAAAGATTGAAGTGAGCACCGGTATCAGAGTTATATACATGGAAGTTCAAACCACAAATCGTCCAGTCTTACATCTCTGGAAAGCCATTCTATTCTAGTATGTTATGTTGTAACTCTATACATTTTAGGTACTGTACTGTAGATGCACCCATCCGTTTCACTCAGCTAGTACCGGTAGCAAGAAATGTTGAGCCATTCACCATTTCCTTCTTGCCCAACTCAATTACAACCCCGTTTAATATGAGTTCTTACACTTTGATACTGGTATTTTGCTGTCCAAGTCTATTGATAGAACTTGATCCCTTATCAGAACAAATGGATGTGATAGAAGAGAATTCTTGACGTTGCTCGTTTTCGGCGTAAAGTGCCGGACTGACTGCTCATGACTTTTTGCGCCAAGATCGTACTTCTCCACATGTCTCATCTAATCTGGTCTTGGTGCTGTGCAGACCCGGGCGTGTTTCACAGACGTCAGAAAATTAAGTACCCCTCTTCCACATCATCATTCTCACCCCGCAGAGTGCGTCCAATCCCCCTCCCCCATGCCATGGAGGAGAATAAAAAGGAATATGAGAAAGATTGCCATCATGATGCCCCCCATCACTCACCTGCCGGCATCGCAGAAGGTGGTTCTCGAGTACAGTACGGTACAGCGGTGCAGCACAGCAAACAGTTCCTTACCTACGAATGAGGACACGCTGATGAGAATATTCCCTCATCCAACCAAATGGATCTTGAACCCCGATCAAGTCATTATTCCAGTGGCCCAGCAGGGATCTCACACTTGACCAACAACAGTGAGTAGGATCGAAAGAGGGCTTCTGGATCCGAGTGGTGTGCACGCACTGCTCATCCATCGGCTGGGAGCGGCATATTATTGTTGCTAACAAGGCGATTGTTTTACTTCTGGAAGGAGCCTTAGAAGCTTGAGTGATTCCCGGACCCCTTTTTGACTTGTGGGTTATCATACTCTTAGCCCGCCAGCTTATGGTAAAGGACATCCGTTGCCGGTGTTCTTTTGCGAACAAAATATTGCTTAACTTCAACCCCCCAAAGTATTTTCAACCACCGCTTAGATGGGAGTTGCAGCTCAGTTAGGTGACAGAGTGGATAATCCTCTTCTTATTAATAGTGATAAAATCGGAATATCTCAAGTTTTCATGGAGATATTGGGGTTAAGGAGTCGGTCAACTTTAGACTAGATGGTAGCTGGGAAATGTCTGGAACATGTTGATTACCTATTACTTTCTTCAGCAAAAACAGTTAACAGCTATGAACGAACTTGTATTGCAATGAGGCAAGTGAACTTGCTATTAATAAGCTAGAATGAATTTCCAACCGCTGCGGATGGGTCCCTCACAATATGACAGGAGAGAATACTTGCATCTATCACGAGAGAAATATTGAGACATAGCCTACCGTGCCTGGGTGCAGAGCTCTCCATCCAAAATTTCTATCTGGGGCCGTAATACATAATGGCGCTTTCGGCAGGGCTAAAAGAAAAAAGTACAATAACATACGGTAGCTTACATTGAGGAAAAAGGCCTGCCCGGCCGAAGAGAACAAAGAGGAGGAAATATTGAAAAACTCATCAAGATGGCCCAGAAACATACAACGCAGGAAGCTCCCACGGCCAGAGGTTATCCTAACCTTTTTTCTTCTTTTCGAGACCCTCGCCTTGGGATGAAAAGGAACGCCCTTCCTTTCATCCTTTTAGGGATATGATAGCTCCATCCCCACTATCAATGGCATGGGGAACGCCAGATCGGGTAACGAGGAAAAGATGCGAAAAGAAGCAGACAAAAGCTATCCGCTAATTCATTAAAACGCACCATCGAGTAATTCGAAGAGCGGGCAAGGGAAGCAAGAGAAAAAGGAAAGAAAAGAGAAATCCATGTCCCATCACCAAAAAAAGAAAAAAAGAAAAAAGAGAGTAGAAAACGAATCCCATCCACACTCATGAAAAGAACATCCGCTCATCCCCTGACATTTCATACGACACCCTTCCTGGTGCCTTATCGCCTGCCCAGCGTGCCTCCTCTACATAAAGCACCCTGCTGGCTTCCTTTAGACGATCATCTGTGCGACACCAGCCCCACCCAATGTCTTGCTTCCCATGAACTCTTGTCCCTTAAGACCAGCCAAACCGTAGAAACAACCAGCAAAGGTCAAGACTACCGCTGCGGCAATCAAACTAGACGCATCGATAACGATGCTGACCCACTGGACAGTAGCCATAATCAAGTAGATACCGGCACGTCCATAGTTTGAATGGAATTTACGCACAAAGTCGTCGAATTTCTTTGAAGTTGGGCAAATGCGCAGAAGAAGTGGGATTTCGATGAAGATAAGCAGAAGACCAGAAACTCTGCAAACGATAGAAGCTTGTCAGCAAACCGGAATGGTAAGGGGGGGTAAATAGTACTAGGGCAACAGACAAGCAAATGACCGAGAAGATAATGAGGAGAGAAGCATGGAAAACATTTGCAATGCCGACGGCGATACAAAGTAGAATTGCTATGATGCCCGTCCTATTTGACTCGATCAGCGAACCATCTCCTGCCTGCGTGCTCTACTCGCGGGAAGATTCTAACCATTGACCGTATATACCTGCGCATCACACACAGATTTCCAGTCAGCCCCATCAATCTTCCCATCCGACCCCATCTCATCTGATCCCATCGTATTCAACCAGCCATGAGGGACACGGTAACTCACTGAAGTTCCTGGTTTTGAACTCTGAGCCGATACTCTCCACGATCCCCATCGTCGCAGTTTTGTTTCTATTTCGATCTTAGCGGGTAAAAGTCTATAAGTTTAGTTCGTAGTGGTCGTTATCGTAAAGTCGTTCGTAACGGGCGGTTGGGTGGTCGAGGGAAGGAGGAGAAGGAGCGGTGGTGGGTGACGGGTGACGGGTGACGGGTGACGGGTGGTGGAGTACGTATGTTTGTTTAAAGTCGGTCCGGCCTGCGTTGATGATTGTGCCTCGTGTTCCCTTCGGTGTTGGGCTGAGCTCCCGTAAGCCTCTCACTTCTTCCGTAGTGAGGTCTGTAAACGGTAAGACTGTGGCTAAAGGTCTTGGCGGATATCCCTTTGCGGACTTATCCAGGATCCCCTTTTGTTCGCGGCGAATACTCTTACAATCGTGGAACACTTGAATACAAGTATTTCACATTCCGTCCAAATACATTCGCTGCCGATTGGTCGAATCTTAGTAATAATAGCTTATTGTACAAGTACTTTTACTGTACTTGTACGAATACAAGCCAATCAGCGGAGACTATGTATTTGGGCAGGTCCGCCATTATAAAGTACGAGTGCAAGTATGCTACGGCAAGCAATTCTAACCCTGTGACTTGACCCTTTCTGACCCTTTGCTTGACTGGAAACTGCTCCTCCAAAATATGAGAGGAGCCCCAGATATGGGCTCCGAGCTACATAAACGGTAAATACTCAGTCTATCTCAGTATTTCACTTCATTCTATGTATTTTGGCCAAGTGGATGGAGGTATTGAATTTCGAACTGCAAGTATGGGCTCAAGCTTTGCGTAGCCACGTAGCTACTGCCTCCTCACAGCTGGGACTTCTTTCATCTTCTCAGGCAGCGCTATCATTACTATTGGCTTGTTCCTTCCATTTACCTCCACAGGCACTCCACATCAGAGTATAGTATCGTGCTCTAGGGTTCCGCCTCAAGCAGTTTTACTCCAAAGGGCTTCTCCCACTCAACGCAGACACTGTGCGTGGCACTTTGATTTGGAAATAGCGAATGTCTCCGGCGGACTACGGTATGCGCCGCGCCCTATGTCAAATCTATCCCAGCAGGCTGCCCTTACTATGGCACTATGATACCCAAGCACAATACGCTCGAGCACACAGTTCTTGAAACGGACAAAAATTTATTCCCACCACCTAGAGTTACTTTCCCCCTCCCCCTTTCCTTCCGGCTCGAACCCTCGCCTGCTCCCTGTCTAAGGTTCTAGAAAGGCAGTCTATCAGGGGCGAGGGGATAGGAAAAGGGTAAAGGAGAGAAATAGGAAATCAAAGTTTCTATCAAGCTGAGTTCCCCACCGGTGACGCAACGTCGAACGATAGTGAGGCCGTAGTGGGCTAGGTAGGGAAGACCTACGGAAATATCAAGGAAATTTTGTTCCCAGCATTCCCTCACGACGCCTATTCCCCGGAAATCAGGGAGTAGAAGAAGTTCATAGGGAAAGGGTATCTTAACGGGGAAAAAAGCGGAACGACACGAAGAGAATAAGACGAAACATTTATGATTTTGAAGAAAAAAGCATCGCCCCGAGCTTAACCATAAATAAGTCTGAATATATCGTTGAGAACATAGTAGGTGCCGGCGTCGGGTATGAGATGGAAACACTGAGAGTACTTTTGAGGATGTTCGCCGTCATCGATCTAAGAGTCCACCATTATTCATGAGTATTTAGGACGTCAGCTAAAGAAACAATAAGGCGACTAACCAACAACTGCCCGGTGATCAGAACGATTATGCTGCCAGATTGTGCACTGGGGTGAGCATCGAGAGTAGTGATCTGATGCACCAGTTTCCTAAAAGGTAGAGACTATTCCACTAAGTCAGACATTCATGACGCGTTTGGGGAGGGATATTAGCCCTACCCCAAGCTTCTCCTTAATATTTTCAAGCCCTTGGACTTGGTTGGTCTCAAAAGTCATCATGGAGTGGTCTCTCTAGTCTGTGTTAGTTCCCGTAAGGGAAACAGGGTGCATAAGGGGAAAAGCTAACATAGACGATACCGAGCCCGGATCTATCCCCCTCGTCAAGCGTTTTATAGTACCAGGCAGCAAACTCCTCTGTACGTCAACGCTGTCAGCAAAAGTGTCATGAAGGCATTTATCGTTAGAATAGGGATTTGGAGGCTTATACTCGCAACAGTAAGGAAATCGGCTACAACTCTGCTATTAGCTTTAATTCCCCCCACTTCAGATCCACGGGAAAGAACCTACCCATGATGCGAAAATTTTGTTAATTCGTATCCTTAAGTTGAAGGCAGCTTTTGAGGAGGGGAGCAAAAAAATGTTATGACCAAGTAGGGTACGCTGTTTTTCAGATGAGGTGGGGGGAGGAGGAGGAAAGGAAACCAAATGAGGGGTCATAGTGGGAGGCAGGATTGGCGCCAAGACTATTCCTGGTTCAAAGGCTCTTTCCTCGAGAAAAAAACAGAATCTGGAATCGGGTATCGTCGACTAACTAATAGTCTATGAGTACCGGAACGGCACTCGAATAGTCTTCACCGAACCCGCGACGAAAATGTATGATAATATTATGATATCATACCAGTAATTTTTGTAACCCTAACCTTGACGATTTCTCTTTTTGCCCATCACCAAAAAGGCTCTTGGAAAATCCGGGCATACTGAATTTTCAACATTCGAGAAGAATTCCAAAAAGTAATCCCTCTAGTAATTTTGTAAGGGATCCCTTTGTGGACTTTTTTCTTACTTTTATTCCACCAACGAGTTTGAAGTCACATTGCAGAGGGCCGTTAAAGATGCGATTCCAACTTAGACTATGGTAATGAGCTTAGGTGAAAACAAAATCATAGATCGGTTGCCATTTCTCAGTTAAATCATTGCACCGGAAGAACACGTATTGTACTCGAATATGATACAAGCACTTTCTCGAGAAGACTCTTTTCCCAATCTAGAAAATTTGGATCAAGTTAGCTGGAAAAGTAGGCTCTGGTTGTCTGGAGCTAGACGGTACTGAGATCACAGGTGAAAAAAAAAGGCATGTAGGAGCAATTAGGGTCCATGGAATTTTCCCCCTTTTTTCTTTTCAAATGACATTACTGTCTTCCTGTTTTAGGCGCCAAATAGACTAGTAATATATTTTTCGTATGGAGCTTCCTTCAATCCAATCCACAGCTTGCCCCCCCCATCCAACACGAGATACCCAAGTGAGAGGAAGGGCCATCCGCACGTTTTTTGGTTATCTGTTTATTCGGTTGTTTATTTTTGATTCATCTGCTCATGATTTGAACTGTGGACAGTCTCGCCTTACAATCTCTAAGGAGGTTTGGAGTTTGTTTCTTTCAGCATTCCATGAAGGCCGGAGACAAATATTGACGAGACTGACAACACCAACAAGTGCAGGTTTCGCCTGTGACGAAATCCCTCAGAAGCCCCGTAATATCGTGGATTAGCGGGAAACGAGCGACAATAGGGAAGCGACTTATTCACTACGGATGTGCCAGAGTGAACTGAAGTGCTCCGGACTGTGTTATCGGATTCACCGCAGCGTGAACACGGAATGTGTCTTGACTAAAACCTTCTCTCTCACCAACTATAGAAGAATTTCGGAACTGGTGGTTGGCTGTTTGTGGATTTCTCTGGGGAGGTAATGTACGGCCCCGTACACCAACAAGCCCCACAAACGCGGCGAAAGAGGAGCGCCCGAGTACTCGAGTAGAACAGGCCATATAGAGGGGCTGCTGCGGATCTGGCTGCCATTCATCGTATCGTATGATAGCTAGAAATAAAGCATAGGCGAAGCTATCTATTATCCTAGAGGGGCTGAAGGAGGGGGGCGGCAATATTATATCCATCCAGTACCACACTCAAACTTACTATTAATGCCCACCGTGACTCTGTATGCGGGTGATGGGGAGACAACCTTCTATGCACTCCATTCTGGTGCTAAATTCGATCAGATTGAGCAAGACGAACTACGTATCGTATTCCCGTTCCCCGACTAAGGACTAAAAGACCGAAAGGGAGAAGGCATATTATACTTTATAGGAGATCATACTTTTAAAGTACCCTGCTGGACTGAGCAGGTATGGGGACTGTGGCAAGCGAGTGAGAAGGTGCACAATGCATTAAGATTTAGGCCTATTTAGAAATTACACATAATCAGCCTATGTTCTAGAATGGGATCGTCAGATGTTCTCTCCCTTTTGAAACCTTTGGTTGGCCCGGCTGCCCCTGACAGCATATACATTCAATGGTGCAATTCGCTAGGGGTCCTCCGTTTATCCTTTGAAAGAGGATCTAGTAAATCGTGGTCGCCATCTTCGGAGATTGTCTTTTATGGATGCGCTCTGGGGCTTCTTGAGAAATGCGTAGCTCGATGGGAGTCTAGAAAGAGTTGGCTTGTATTGAGCCATTGGGAACCAAGTTAAGGACATCTTCCTTTCTGAGAATTCCTAAAGGTATGTAATGCCATAAATTGGTTAGAGTGCAAATATCCTCCTATCATAATAATTATCTATTTTTTTCCTTATAGGAGGAACACCTCCAGAATTCATATCATCTCACTCGGAGCAGCTCTAGGGTATGACGCCAAGGGAATTGTAGGCGAGGAGAATGCCAAGACAGGGCTTAGGGTTTTCATCCACTGGGCCTATAAAAGAATTTGCGATTCCCACATTGATCGTTTCCCACCCAACTCCATCAGCGGCAACAAACTGATGGCGATGCTCTCCGGTATTCTATTGGTGCGGTGTTAATGGGCACAATCCTGGATGCCTCCTCCGCATGACACGAGCAATCTGTGGGTTTGTTAATTGCCCTTCCCTTGACTTCCTGTTTCGTCTTTCCTTTCGATGATGATTACCCAAAACAATATAAACGATAACTTCTGAGTTAATCGATGAAGCAACAGTTTAATGCGTTATGGTTCCTGACATTTTGTTATTTCGCTATTGGCACAGAAACCAGTTTTCACCGAGCGGTACCATACTGACTTGTTCGAAGGTATCGAGTTAGTTTTGCACAGGGAATAATTGGGTTCGGCCGGCCCAACCTCTAGTGGCTAGGGTAATAGTCCTGCAGAGTAAGTTTCTTGGGAGTTTCTTCGCTCTTGCTTGCCCGAATGATGATCTACTTAGTACTTATCTACATTGTCTGAACCCAATGAAGACCTAACTCATACTTTCGATATCTGACTTGTTTATCCTTGCTATTTGTTGAGTTTGGCGGTTGGGTTTGCTCTTGCTAATGGCTATCCTTCAAATAGGTTCGTTCTCTGCGGCATCAATTCTCCTATTGGTTGAGACCTACAACGCTTCACTGATGCTTCGGGTCTTGGTCCCTGCACGAAGTCTAGACTGCATCGATATTGCTTTTCTGTGCCAGTTCGCTCTGGCCACAAACCTCTAAAATCTGCCCCTATTGTTGCTTCACAACTCTAGGGTTCCTGGAAAAGAGGGAGATTACCCCCCATATGCGTCGGTGTCATCAAGTCAATCATTCAAATCGATGCGCCGCGGGTATGGGGATTGGTGTGCACTGCTTGAGAAAACTTCTCCTTGTTCAATAGTGGATGCGGTGGTTATTGGTGCTCTACATTTCTTATTTCTTTCCGGGGGTTATTTTGGGACACGGGGGGGGATTTGCCTGCAGTGTAGAAGGGTCATTCTGGTAAGCATTGAATTTCCTTTTTGGCCCAATGAACTGTGTGGAGTGATGATCCATTCTTCTTCACTTTCAGAATCCTTCGTACAACGTGAGGAGATGAAGTATAAACGACATTTCGAGCTCGAACAGTCTGACCATCTACGCACTATTTTTTGCATTACAATTCTATCACCTCGGGTTTGCAATATTTACTGACTCTAAATTTTAGCTCGGCGACACTGTCACCCTTCCACGGCTACTTCTACGACCTAGCCTAACGATAAACGCTAACAGGTGAGCTATTTTTTAATTCTTACTGTATATCGTTATTTCCCCTTTAATTCTAGTGATGATTTAAACGCATGTATTACCCGAGAGTATGGCCTTGAATCAGCCGGTTCGTTGAAGTCAATATTTTATTAGCTCTATCTGATATTAATTTTGGTTTTCCTTTCACCACTAGCCTTGTTCTTTGCACGAAGAGGGAGAGCTAACACCTCGACAGAATACTTAAATTAAACCCTCACTGATGAAGTTCATGTAGATTTAAAAATAAAATTATGATAATACTTTGCTCTATTTGGGTCCCAGTTGACTCTAATTGTCATGGATATATATCTCACTACCGTGCCTGCATTTGATACTTTTGCGTCCGTTCAAAACATGTCTTATATAGTACGGGTATCCTTATAATCCGAATTTCTTACTAGTCTCTAGCTAAATGACTGTAAATCCCACTGTGACTTACAGGTCGAGTGCAGTGCGCCTTTCCCCACAGAAGCCTGAACCACACCGATCGTAACTCAAGCGGCCCCCCATAGCCCCCCCTTGACGCCAGCCCCATCCCAATGGATGACCAAGCCGGCATAGCTATATCCCCGGAAGATTTTAAACAGGTTCCCTTAGAAGACGCGGTCTACGGTATCCCCTTCCCTCGCCCCTCCCCCCCCCCAACCCAGGTTGTTATTACTCCCATATATCGGGCAGCCCTAATAACCCCGACCGGCCGCACCCTCTCCCACTCACAACCTTTGCATTCACCTTGGTGGCCCAATTCAGCACGCAGAAATGTCTACCTTCGGAAAGCTCGGTCTGCATATGTTTGATGAAATCACGCTCTACATTGCGCTTGTGCAATGCGATGTTTGCGCCGGCGCTAGGCTGCAGTTTAGGATTACGCGTTGTGATGGGGAAGAAAGGGACAGTGCAGGATGATGAGGATGAGGTTTTGAGAGGTAGGGGGTGGAGATGATAGATTTGGATTATGAGAGGTGTTGTGTGTTGCAATGGCGGATCAGGGATAATCTAGGACGGTGGGTGGAGGGGAATGGGGATGGGAATGAGGGGGGTGAGTGGGAAGAAAGGAGGGGGTTGCCCAAAAGGATCGTGGGGGGGAACGCATAATACTTGGTTTGTGGGAATCGGTACAACTGTTGGTTGGTGGCTTGAGCAACTTGCCTAGGGTCATTAACTGCTTTTTAGTAGGTGTGATTGTTGTCATAAATCATCACTCGTTGGAGTTATCGCCTATTTTTGGGTAGATGGGTTCGTGGCCATGCTTCTATCTCTGATGCGCCACAATCCCTTTTTTTAACGGTGTTAGTATCCTCTCCTATAAGTTGGCATTCTTCGGTGGGGTCCAAAGTGTTTGCGCTGCAAGTGGAGGTTGTGTTGTTTGGCTCTGGTGACCTGTTCGTATACAAGTGCGGGAATTGGAATTGAAGTATCGAGGTTGATGTCTGGGTAAGTGGGTTTCTATGTAGGCGCTGTATGTAAGATGCAAGCGATGGTGAAGTTCACAAAAGGGCAGAGAGACGGCGGAGGTGTGGGTGGGAGCACCCCTAGTATAATAGGTGAAACAGCTGCCTGTCACTGTATGAACAATTGTATGATTCATTGTGAGGATAAGAGTGTTACAATACAGAATGCGACCCAATGTTTTGTATAGAGCTATGTGGATAAAACTATTACTTGCCAACTTGCAGCTTTCGGATCTATACCAAGCTAAGCAGCACTGACAATTTGTAGAATACGAGGGGTTCAGCACCTGGGAAGTGTTGAGAGAGGGGTATCTCAGATTTCCGCCATCCAAGTAGACGCCCCACCTCACTATACCTCTCTCTTCTCAACACGACGTGAGCAATGTTACTCCATCACTATTGATGTGGAAATCACTGTGGTTGCTGGTACACTAACTATTGATTGATTCCTGAACCCTCTCACGTACAGACTGGTGAATTAGAAACTAGAATATTTTATATATGATACTTTTCCTGGCAGCCCTAGCGTTTGCATTCGGTTGTGGTGTCTGAACTGCCCATGCCTTGGTGAAGGGGGGGCTTCTGGATTCCTGCCATCCGCCCACCAGTTTATCTCCAATTTCATGGTTTGCGATTCCAAAGACAAACCCACACTACTATTTCCGCAGGGGATACCCCTATATGCAAGGGAGTTGTGCCACCCACACATTTCGGAGCAGCAGCACTCCCTCTTGGAAGCTCCACAGAGGACACTTGTGACGCAGAGCTCTGCCAATCTCTCTCTGCTCAAATTGGTCCTCCACTGGAGGGCAGGTTCCGACATGGCAATAGAGTGTCCAGCCTCGTATCCAAGTATCCAACTGTTCCCAAGATTTTTCGAAGCTTTCTATAGCGTGGGGAAAGTGGAGACCTTGCGCGTGAGACGGCAAACCTGATTTTTCAATCCTATTAGAGGGGTGTTCAGAATTGATTGCCTTTGCACCGCATCTTACGTAGAGTCACCTGGGGCCATATCCATAGAGCCACTAATCATAGCCAAAGATCGGTGTAATGGGTCTGAGTTAAAATGTTTGGCCCTGTATGGCGTGCTCAGCGTTTGGACGATAAAAAGAAACACTACCACAAGCCCTGAAGAGGTTTTAGGGGGGAGATTGGGGGATTTTCTTCCGTTGGTTGATCTGTCGTGAAGTTGGTCATAAAACCTGAGGTTGGTCACTCACCGCCAGAACCATAAACATCTCCATAAGCCGAATACATGAATTATAGCAATAAAAGCCCTTCTATGGAAGAAAGAGGCACTATATTGGGATCTCCTTCTCTTCTACGCCCTGAAACCTTGGCAAAACTTACCGGTTGGGGGGAGATCTATATCTGGGTATTGGGAGACACCTCCAGGAAGAGGAGACTCCGGACTTTCTACACACAGAAACCGCAGAAACAAGGGGGCAAGAGCAGAGAAAGTAAAACGGTTTACAGCATGTTACAATCTGGAAACCCAGGAGGGCTGGAGGGACATATGAACGGGCTGGACGAGAGGGTATGAACACAATCTGTTTCTCCGATTTAAGCACTTTGATAACGTATCATATATTTTTCTTTAGTCAGGTTTTTATTTATAGGCACGATACCAATTCCCCAGCTCTCTTGTGATGTAAAAAAGTTTTGTCATCCGTAGCTTCCCGAAAGATGGGGATTTTGGGCTTGGCGCAATCCCAGAGGCCACAGCCATAGCCCTTGCTTTCACCATTCGTACGGGCAGGGTTTTCTAACACAAGACCTTGTGGATTCCCAGGGAAGCACCTCACTCAGTCCCCGGATCCTTACATGGAATTTTCTGGCTGCCATCAATCTCTCACTTATATCTTCCACTGGATTGCCAGTTACGCATGCTCCGACACCGGCACCCCTAAGCGAAATAAATATCTGAGACCTTCTATAAATCTCATCCAAATTCTCTACCACCAGTTTTAAGGCGGACACTCCGAGAGAGATTTCCTGATATGGTGGCCAATGCAGTGGAGTATTAGTGGAAAAGTCAGAGCGCAGCCTTTGCCCTGGGGCCGAACGCGGAGACAATGGGAAGGCTGGGATAATTGAGGCTCAATCAGAATTGCATCACGGGATTTCCTTGAACCAAGACAGCGCAGGAACACCCCTTACACGCAAGCTCGGTGAGCCATTCCTAATGCCACCAGGAGCATTTAGCATGCATGTTCGGCGTGATGGTAAAAACCATCCCCCTCCTCTGGGGTTTTGGACCTCGGCCTTTGTGTGCCCATGAGACCAGCAAGATAGCCACTCTATCATACAGAATCGAAGCGAATTCAGTGGAGTCCCAAGGGTTCGCGTTACGTGCGGGGACACATCATAGAGAACCCGCCATCGTTTCGAAAACTTGCGTTTGTCTCCCTCCACAGAAGACCCCCAAGTGGTGGTTAGGGATGCGAAAAACACCACGAACTTGTTGCCTCGACAAAGGCTGGGAGCGGTGCTGATGAAGCATCCCACGTAGGTGGCATTCGCTCATCGATTCCTGAAACCAGTGTCAACTCTAGCCCCGAAACTCAACTCAAGTTATTTGGAGGAAAAACAGTTGTTGGTCATCGAATGGTCGCTACAGCTGGTGATGATTTTGGAAGCTGGCGCTTACGTCGGCGCTCGTGGGATTAGGATCAGTTCCGGCGCCTCCTCCCCACAAGTCGCGATTTGACTAACGCGACTCGCAGCCTGGATGCGATCGTCTCATAGTTGGGCTACGGTGCGCATGGTTCCCGAATCGTCAAAAGCCATTCTTAGAAGTTGGAGGCGATAAAAGCTAGCTTTGTAGTTCGTTCATTCTCTTCCTCTTCCTCAGAGCATCTCGCGGTTTGACTAACCGTGTCTTCTACTTCCCAGAGTTGCTGTGGGGGGATTTAATGGATAAAAGAGCCCCTCCCCTACCGAAAGGTCCAAAACACCGGCTAGGCAAGGGGCAACCTGGGAAAGGCTAAAGCTCACCGCCCGGCATCCGTGTTCTCGTTTCGAGTTCTAACTACCGTACGGTAGTCGAACTCAACAAGTGTCATCGCAAAAAGCGAAGAAAAGAGAGGAGGGGACAGATTTGTGAACCTGTGCATGTTCTTTTCATTTGCGCCAAGTCATGCGGCAAAATGCCGAATGCATCCACAAGTCAGGATGCGTGAGCTGGCCTCGAGTGATCTACCGTGACGTTGTGCAGTTTTTTTCTTCTATGCATACCTCAGGCGACCTATTTCCGCCCTTAATCCACTAAGATTCATTCCGCAGGGTCCACAAAAAAAAAAAAAAATTCTTCCTTGGAATACCGCAATGGTGAAGAAGTGTGAATAGTAGGGTATAGGTTAGAAGATGACCCGGGAATACAGGTACCGGTATCCAGCAAGTAGCACCTAAACACAGGGATTTTGTAAAATTTTGTATAGCAGATTGTCTGTGCGGGCCTGAGCACCCGCACTAAATTCGGGGGCGAATGTTCAGGTATGATAGATATTTCTTGTTTGGTACGTGTAACCTAGGGGGCTGCTTTCGCGGGAGCAATCGGGTTGGTGCCCCACTGTAGGATACGAGCGCCGTGCCGTAACTGGGGAGTGAGGGAGGAAGTGAGGAAGGGCAGGAGGTACTCGTACTAGTACTCGTACAGTATTGTGCACAGGGAAAAAGTAGAAATGATCAAACGTAGAGCGTTGGAGAATTCCAAGCTTGACCAAGTTGGCGGGGTCCTTCCGGCGCCTTCTCAGCCGTGAATCCGGATTCCTGGCCGGGTAGGTACCGTATCATGCATACATGGGCAAGTTGGCAAAGTGAATGGCGGGGGGAGAACAGTGATGTGTCAGTATTGATCTCTCCACGTTGGGCTCAAGACGGGCGAGATGGATACGGGGGGGGGATTAGAGATAAAGTGCGGCACCGGCAAACTCGCTCGAGGACTGAGCGATATGATAATATGATAAGTTAGGTAGTGCACCGTATTCTACGGTAATAATGTAAGTTGAGGACGGTAGAGATTGCCGTCCTATCTGCAACTGGAAAAGCGATCCACCAACTCCTCATGAGACGGGGGGGCATCACACTCAGCTGTCTGTCTGGGGCTCAAGAGGATAACAAAGAAAAACAAGCTCAGTACAAACAAGCAATGTATCATAGCAGACACACATGATTTTGTCTTCATCCTTGCCTCTGGAACACCGTCACACACTGCAAGGTGTTGAAGGGGAAGAAGAAAAAAAACAACCAATCATTTCTTCTGGGGGACAACCCTACCGGTATTCAGTAAATGCCATTTTTCTTCCCATCATTCCTTTTGAGAAGGTTCTCTCGTCTGAGTTGCGATATACCAGTACGAGTACAGTACTCGAGTAGTCTAGTCACTTTGTAGGGGGAGGAGTCTTAACTTACACATTCTCGAGCATGACTTGGCTGCTTGGTCAGTCAACAGGGATGACGTTTGAAGGCAGCATTTCGATCGCAGTTCCCGATGTCGAGGCGATTTGCGACCGGGGCCATTTCCACCAAAACCGCCCGCACTTTCTTCCTAAAATATCCGTTTGATAGTCACAAGTGGTACAAGTAAGTTACCCTACACTGTCCACTAAGTTAACGCATCGCGATATATCTCCACCACTTACTCCACTACACTACCCTATCCCTTGCGAAAAGTCCCGAAATTCAGATATAAAAGGGCTCCAAATCCCTCTCCCCTCCACACACACACTTTCTCGAAAACTTCTCCCCTTCCCACTCATTTTGTCCCATCGCCACACCCCTCCTCCATACCCCACCCAAATACCGCCTTAACTAAAACTACCATACCACAAAAACCTCTCGCCAGCGATAAAACTACCAAGACCAAGCCGGGAAAAAAGAAAAAAAAAGAGAAAAAGAAAAAAAAAAGAAGAAAAAAAAAAGAAATGGCCTACAACACCCGCTCGAGTGCCCACACCACCCGCTCCAAAACCAAAACTCCCCACAAAACTACCACCACCCCAACAACCCTGAAGACAAGCCGAATGAAGGCCCCCAAGTCCGCGCCGACCACGAAAAAAACTCCAAGCCACCGCACGGGCGCTGGCGTGGCCAAGAAGCCCCGCCACCACAAGCGCAAGCCACGTCTTTCAGATAAACTTGAGGGCGCGCTATTGAAGGTCGAAGGAACGCTAACTGGGAGGAGAGGGGTTAAGGTATTCTCACTTCCTCGCGCGGGGGCGAGGTTATTTGGGCGTAACGCTAACTTAACAAGCACTAGGCCGCCGGAACCAAAAAACTTCGTGGCACAGACGGAAAAGGCGAGAGGAGGTCTATTCGGAGGTCGATATAAGCCACCTTTTTTTTCTTCTCCTTTTTTCGCCTTCCATAATACTGTGGATAAACTTGGGGGGGGGGTCGGAGGTTGTATGTTTGGCGTTATGTCGGATTGGACGGCGGGGTGTACGATTTTCTCTTCCTTTGTCCCTTTTTTTTTGCTAGGCTTGGGTTGGGCTTTTGTTTGACTGGGTGAACCGATGAAGGAATGTGGTGGGTATATATGGCTGTTTTTTTCTTTCTCTTTCTCTTTTCGGGGAGGAAGGAAGGGGTGAAGGAAGCACATACGAATCAGTAATCTAGTTATTCCTTTGAGCGCAATATATATGAGTTACATATTCCTTTCGAATCCGGCTTATCGCGATTCACATACCGGTACTGTGTGCTGCTGTTGTTGCTACTGATGGTTACGATTGTGGTGACAGTGATGATGGCTTGCTCCTGGTGCTCAAACATCTGGCCCTCGCTTGTCGAGTGATTATATATGATATCGGCGCAGCCGCAAGATGGTCAGAGGACCCGGGAGGGTATCATATCCGGTGGCCATTGGTCAACGAGTGATGAGTAGTGACTAGTTACGTTCTAGATGTTTTTGGGGTATGATGTGGGATTGGGTATCACATGCTCAGGGAGAGGAGTGGGGTCTATCCTAGGGTTGAAGGAAGCATTACGGCCAAGGGGAATGGGGTGTTGATAACAACAGGGTAGAATACGATAACTTCGGATCAGAAGCTGTTCCATGAACGTTCGCGAAGGCCTACATAGGTGGGGAAGGAGGAGGGATATCAACTGCATACCGTATCACTCGCCAATTCTCGAGGCTGAGTAGTTTAATCCGGAGGGGGAGATTGACTTTCTACGGAACTTTGCCATATCCCTCAATTATAACACTCCCTCACCCCCCCCCCTTCTCTAGATAATGTTTACATTTCTTCGTTCTCCGTATGCGGGAATAATAGATGTTCAAATCGCACAACGAGTCAACGACGAACAGGCGTCCTTCCGACCGGCACGGATTGCCTGTCCCAACCACCCACCCGCAGAAAGCATAGGGCTCGACCCCGGGTTTGGGCCGGGGACCTCTCGCAAGCCAGTTAAGGCACTCAGGGTATTTCCCTAAGCGATAATCATATCATATCATATCATATCATACAACTAGACCAGCAGAGCTCGCTGATGTCCAACTCTAACGTTGAAAACTTTGGCACATGTACACGCCAAAGCATCCAAAGCTCAATCTTGATTCCCTCATGATAGCTACAATACACGTTATGGGTATCCTGTCTGGGAACGCCCTTAAACTCGGCGGCAGCAGAAACTAGCAAGGCTCGAAAATATAAGGAGAGTGGAGAAGGTACAAGGTGGGAGGGAAAGGAGCGGTATTGAGGAACCCCGTTCAAGCCCCAAAACTCATGTGCGCGTAGTCGCTGCCGTTAGGAACGTATCCGCTAGAAGATGACTGGCCGTTCTCCATGCCGCTCATGTCGCCCATGGCCAGCGGCGGCAGGATGGAATTCAAATATGTGAAATCACTCTCTAGCATAAACTCCCCTAACTGTGTGCGAAATGGCGATTTCTGCAGATCCTCAATCGAACCCTGGTACGGGTCCTGCGGTGGCTCATTCTGCACGGTGGAGGATTCTGGCGTGTCAGTGCTAGGACGATCGGGGAGTTGGGCGGGCTGAGGTATTGATGTTACTATGCGGGGGGAGGAGGTCGCTTCAGTGGTGAAGATTAGCGGTTTGTCGGAGCGAGCAGGAGAGCAGGACAAACCAAGGGGCGCAACGTAGCGCATGAGGTTCTTGAGGAAAAGGCGGCAGCGGTTTGCAATTCTATTGCCAGCTGCTAGCACCTCAATAGTTTCCATGGCCATCTCTAGATGCTTGAGCAGACTGGCGGTTTCTGGAACGAAGTCCGGTCGGAGCGCTAATTGGCGTACTTGACCGACAATAAGGACTTTTGATACAAGAACCAAGCTCGCATTGAATGCTGTTTCATGATGTCAGACTCTTCCCTAAACGAACGGTTGTGATAGAAGTACTGTAGTAAAGCGTAAACCACCAAAAACCAAGAAGATCGCTGCGATACTTCACTTTGTGTATGATTTCTACCGTCTCAATCGCGCTCTCTGCACACACCTTGATGCTAGCCCATCCAAAGTTCCAAAAGAAATCACCCTCGAACTTGTTAGTGCTTGGCCCGCCTCCCCAAATCTCACTCAGTCCTTTGACAACAAATTGCCTATGGAGCAGCGCTCGGGTGTTGTAGTAACGAAGCGACAGTATGATACTCTGTCGCCAAAACTTGCTCGGTGGACCGCCGCCACTTGGGATATCTGAGGAAGATACGATACCGAGTGCTGCTGGGAGTTGTTGTCGCCAGGTAGAGAGCTTTTCTTCTATCTCTGCAACACGAGCTACATAGGCAAACGTCGGTTCTACTTGATCTCCGCCACCGAGATTTCCCCCGTATAGCGTGTCAATTATCATACCTAGGAGGGTATATAGCTTTCTAAGCTTCTAATTAGCCAATGCGGGGTCGAATGAAGAGGTGTCCTCACATAGAGAGAATAAAGAAGGTGACTGATGTAGGAGTAGACGGCTGAACTGGAACAGGTGACATGTTTGTCTTGAACACATCATCTTCAACGTCCAATGGTAGGTCCAGCTTCTCTGCGTACGTTGCTATTGCGGAAGGCCGGCCAAAAGTCATGCATAAGGTTCTGTGAGCCAGTCAGTGGTGGTATCGAGCCGAAATCTTACCATTCAGCCTGCTTACCTATCTAGCAAAACACAACCATACCAGGCTCTTTTTCTCAGCTCCCTCTCCAGGGGCGGGAACCGTTGCAAGGCCTGATTTGAATGCAACCCTAGTTGTAATGCTATTCGTACAGCCAACCCGTGTGTAGTCCAACACTGATTCGGCTTCCGTGTGCTCTGAAGATAATGGCTCATCATCAGCAGCAAGTGCACTATTCACTATCAGTTCCGTTGGCCAACCAGAGACTATTTCTGACGCCTCACCCGAATCTAAACTTGCAAGTCTAAGAAAATGACCATCACATAAACCGAACCCTCTTTGATAAAACACCTCGGCAGTCTTATATTTCTCTTCAGCGCTAATGTCCGTCTCTGTGCTAGCTCTACTGCCCATCGCCATAACTAAGTTCAACAAGGCTAGCCATGTTCGCCGAACCTTCGAAAATCCATCCCTTAAAGCCTCCTCGTAGGTTTCTAGGAAGCTGGGCTGATGCAAATATGGAAATAGGATATTAGTGTTTTGGAAATACAATGTTACATAGTGTAATACACGCTTTTGAGGCGGCAGGACATATATCTTGACATTCCCTGCCCGAATATCGAGTTCACCCCCAGTCGATGGGGCCGGCGAGTTACGAGGAGAGATGAAACGAGAGGATGAGTCTAGAGTAGGATCTGTGCGGCGAAACTCTTTCGTGAAAGTTGTAGTCACGCTCACGGATGTTGCTAGGGCGCGGGTGACATGCCCGATAAAAGCTATATTTGACGACGGACCTGAATAACGAAATGTTTAGAACAACTGAAAGGTGTATCGGGTAGTTGCGGTTACCAAAATAACCATAATCCTCTTCATCCCCCAGGTTCAGGGCACCCATCCCGTCAAGAACCGTATCTTGGGCACTGGATTCATCTTCCAACTGTCCTAGTTTAAGGTTCACGAAAGTTTCCCCGTTATTTGCGTCTAGGTTCGGTGTGTTCGACCCCTCAATACGGGTGCGCTTTGAAGGTGGACCGTCAGCGCTAGCACTGCGCCGGTTCTGTGCGTCGTCATTAAGGTCGTGGTTCGGGGCCGTGAGTGTAGGTGAGTTGCGAAGTCGAGACTCGGAGGCTTGCGCTGCTAGGAGGTTTTCGACGGCGAGCAACCGAGTCTCGAGGCGGCCAATGTAACTATGGGATTTAAATTAGAACTCGCAAACCACAGCCTGCGGTGAAAGAAAATCGGAAAACGAGACATGGAATTCTGGAGTTCCGATTGGAGCGCTGAGTGGCTCAAGCCAATCAATTTCCATGTTCCCAACCCCAATTTTCCAATTCCTCTTTTTACCGCAGGCTGGAACAAGATTTCGCATCACCAAAAGGGCATTTATACTCTTTTCCGATGATTGTATTCGAAGAAGAAGCGCTCTGCTGATAAACACAATCGAAATCCAGGTCTAAATATCGTGATTGTTAATATAACTTTCCTGAGCAACCACCCCCGATAAAAAGGCAGATAAAAGTGATCAACTTGCCTCTACACATTGAACATTTTGGTCGAACTCCATCGCACTAGGTAAAGCAGTCTTGTGCGTAAGCTTCTCATTCAAACCTCCCGGATTGCGATTCACATTAACCGGCTCTCCCACAAGAAAAACGGAACCATCCTATGTCAGAAACCAAAACAAATATTTTTCACACCTTGGACTTCCTCGTTCTACAGGCATTGCAAGCCAAAGAAACCCTTTTCCTCTTGGAACCACTACCTGAGCCCCCACCTCCACCATTTGATTCGCCTCCGCCTAGCTGCGAGGGGGGCGGACTAAATTGAATCTGATGCTGTAGTTGATGATGCCCGGTATCGGTGGAATTATCTTGAGAGTCTTTGTCCTGATTCATTGTTGTTGGAGCGATAGGCCAAATGGAAACGGGCTGGAGAGGATCCGACGGGGCAAGGTCGGGTTCTTGCAGATGCGATTTTAGTGCTTGGGGAAAGGTCGGCGGAAGAAGGCTCGATCCTCAAAAGTTCGCAGGGCGTTGATCTCTGGTTACTAAGCTTGGTGGTGGAACCGTGCGAGGGTAGTCGAGACCGCCCACGCACCTTCGAATAGTCCTGTGATTCGCCTCAATTCTTGTTGACCATTTGGTAAACTACGGCACACGCTAACTTACTCGCGCGGTCGGGCTGAAGTTGGGTACTGTGGCGACCCTAGACTTATGAGATATTGAGTATTATTTCCGTTCCCTAATTGACTACCATAACTAATCGATTTCTGTCTGGTACTATATTCAACTTCAACTTGTTCACGCGAGCAGTGACCGCGAATTGACGATAGATACCCCAAGAGAGGCAATTGTGCAATGGTAATCGCTTGTAAGGGGCAGTGAGCTGATGAGTGCTCACGTATTGATAGTCGGTTCTGGAGAGAAAGCTCCCTCTTTACTGTCGATGAGATACCAATGGCTATGGTTTTCTCCTCCACTCGCTCACAATTCAACCTAAACCCGCCTACCAAATACTCCGATATGGGGTACATATACCACACAATACAGGTATATCAAGTGGATAACTATCATACCGTGCTCGAGTATTGGTCCCTAAGATAGGAACCCTGGACCCGGGACTACGGAAAGCTTGAATATTCGTAACGGAGCAAAAGTAGGGTGCCGCGAGAAATAACTGGAGATTCGGTGTCTAACTTGGGATAGATACCTGTGTGTGGATATGCAGTCCCGTTGGAAGGTCCGATAGGCCTAGCCAGTTGCAGAGAACAAGCTCTTACGAGTACTGTAGAGACCGCTTCTCGAATTGGCCAGATAAGTCGATATGACACTGTGTGATGCCGGTATTGTTGCCGTCTCCTCGGCGTACAAGGGGTGAATCGAAAGTAACCTTTAATGGAATTTACTGTATTATCCTAGTAGCAGTGCCCAGCCTCCCGCCACTTGGAAAGATCCTGAGCCACCTTCGAAGAAGTCGACTCACAAGGGGGGGTTCCTAAAGGTTCAACACAAGTAACAGTTCAATACAAGAAGACCTATTATATCTGATGAGAACTGTTTATGATAAAGGCCCAATCTCACAATACGAGGAGTTTCTGCTGGTTGTGCCTCTTGGTCGTATTCTTTACAGTCTTCCATAAGTGACCTGTTTTGAAATATTTGTTGGGTCTTTTCACTGACCTTGTCAATGCCCTCCGACCCCTTTTACTGCGCCTTTGCTCCGACTTCCTGGGCATATAAGATGGAGAGCCCTTCTGGATTGACTGTAAAGTCCACTTTTATTATGCTGAATGAGCAAGTTCAGTAACTTTTATGTTTTCAAAATCAGTAAGAACTTGGGTGCTACTTTGCACTCGGGCTAATCTCCTTTTTAAATGCTCCCGAAAGTTGCAATTGGCTTGTAGTGAGAGCCGATCAGGCTCCAAATGTAGTAAACCAGTAGCTCGTTTAAGAGAATGAATGGTTTCTGAAGTCCCGAGATAGACCCCACATTTCCGCGGGTATATTTATGAGAGTAGTTGAAACAAAAGCTCTTGAGCAGCTCCATGCTTAACTTACATGACACCATTGCATGACCCACAGATTGTATGATACGACCGATACCCCTATCTGATGACCCGAGCGTTTGAGTCCCACTTTCAGGCCTCAAAGTGATACCATGCTAATAACTTCTGCTGTAAGTTTTCCCGGCACGGACTCACCCTTCAGCCACCGGATACGTCTTGTTGTGCCCTTCGCATCTTGATAGCCTTACCACACCAGCTGATCTAGAGACCTAAGCCATTCCCACTTAAGAGCAGCGACGTGCGTACTCATACCTTGTCGGGGCCGCAAGCCCCACTCTTGCAGGGCCTGGAACAAAAAGTTTCGTAGAAAGCACTGGCAGTCGGTCCGATAAAGGGACCCCTGTCGAAGAAATATCCAGAGTTTGGGAGCAGGTTTTTGATGACTCGATGCTTGCACCCTTTTATCAGCCACATTACCTTTGCGAAAGACTACATTAGTTTGGCCCACAGGGCAGAGTAGTCGGAGGGTGATGGAGAGTGGTTAGGAAGATTGACAAAAAAAATTGCCATCTGGTGTTGTATTATGTTTATTGTGCTACAACTTGACAGACAAAGTATCAGTAAGCACTTCCGAAATCGAAGAAACGCAAAGCTAAAACTCTGAATAGTAGACCTTTATAGATAATTTCCCAGGTGACTTGGGCCAAATACGAACAGTTAGCCTGTCCTTACTGGAGATTCCTAAATTGTATTTTGAGCTAATTGATTATGTGATACAAAGATTACAATATCTGACAAGCTATATTTTATGCCAGTTTTTGTTCGCAGGAATGCCTTTGTAGATGGCGAACGAGATGATAGGGCCGCATTCATGGATGCCGATATAAACGGTCTTGTGGCATCACAGTCTCCGCCTAGGTAGGCGGTCACAGGCTTAGGTGTAGTTGTAGACTTCCCTAACTTGAAGACTACCATAAATAGTCTCTTGACCGGCGGAATATCTTTCTATATCACACGTAGGCTAGCTAGTGCGATTGAAGGTGGATGTCAGTATCAACCGTACGAATTTCTGAATTGGGAATATAATCGTACTGATGCTTCCAGTCACCCCAACAACGATTTTTTTACTCACTGTATTTGTACCCCCACTGTATCCAAGGAAGTTGGTCTGTACTAGCTACACTGAGAGAGTAATTTTTCCATCACAAGTGGAAACGAAACCCCAGGGTTAGGATTATCACTCGAGGAACTTGCGGTCCAACTTTCCTATCTCCAGGCAGAAACTGCACCCACTGGAGTAGCGGAATCTCTTCTGGCTGTTGGAACCCTTTACCTCCGCTACAGCTTTGGGTTGTGGGGCGGGCGGTGATATCTGTAGAACTTGTCCATATCTCAGTGGTGTGGGGGGAGGAGCTAATGGTGCCACTAGATTCGCGATTGATGGTGAATCCCGATTTGAGGGCCAAAATTCGAGTAACAAAATAAACCACTACCTCTATATTATTGGTTTGATAGGTTGGATTTATATGTCACCATCGCCAACACAAACTAAAACTTGGTTTCGAGGACTGGGTGACCGGTATGAAATCACCTGAAATTCGACTCCATGCTCGTCCTAACGAGTGACATTCTAGACGCATCGTACAGGTTTACTCCTAAGAAAAAAACCACCATCGTCAATCGGTCTTTGAGGGACGACCCTACAAGAGCTCGGGTGATATAGTACATCGAGAAAGTAAATGAGAACGACTAATGTGTACGCCGAATATCAGGTTGCATGCATACCCGCCCAGTTATTGAAATGGATGGTTTTATTAAAAGGCTTGTGGAATATAATTTATGGCTGCTCCATGTGGTAAGTTGGCCATACATAATCTTGGACAACAAATGTATTGGGTATAACCTTTTAGCATAGGTCAGAGTGATATCTTATATCCCGATGAATCCTCCGACCAGTTATCTCACCTTGATATCCCGAGATCTGAGGTTTCACTATTGACCAAAGCAATATCCTCACAATTGTATATCCACCACTGAACTGAGGCCTTATGCATTGCTGGCACATTTGGAACAGTATTCTGGCTCCCGGCTCTAACCAAGCTTTCCGGAAAGCGCTCGGAAAAAAACATTCAGTCCATCTTCCAGTGCCCTATAGTGCTTCCCAATGCTCCTAATTCTACCATTTTCACTGGATAGCACAAACGCTTGGTAGAAATATTCAACCACAGTATTGTTAAGTGGTGCCCCATACGTAGGCAGTATTCCTATTTGGACGGCACCGGTCCGAGGATATATTTTCGTCAGCAGATGCCACCCCCGTCGCCCGGAATTCTACCAACCCAGGCTCAGTCCGAACCCGCAGCGTAGGTGCTGCCATATAAAACATGGCGGTATAGTCGTCATCTATCATCTCCCCGTCTATATACAGGGAGGACGATAGGCTCAACTGTAACTTATGTCTTACCTTTGGCCCCTGCTACCCCGATAAACGGCCAAGCTGACGAACCGAATAGATCGCAGGGGGAATACAACCTTTATACTCACTACCATCCTCGACACCCTGCTCTTCCGGGGTGTTAAGAAACATTATAGGTGGAGGAACCAATCCAGAGGAGATATGGGGACAAATGGAAAGTGCAGAAAGCGCAAACTACCTGGCGACGGGCTAAGGCGAGGGGAACAAGAGATCGGATTTCAAGTTTTCCCATCGATGCAAGCGACTTCAGGCGGGTGGATAGAGAGATATATTTCCGGTCGGAGTTTGTTATTCGGATTTTGACTAACTTAGAGATTTTTGCGAAAGTGGGGGTAATATATGCAACAGATTTGTCATCCGACTGTCTAATCAATGCAAGGCATGAAAACCTAGATGGCGTGCTATGAGTTTATGCGATCCTTCCTCATTACCCCCCAAACCACCACAATATCATAATATTATGGCACAATGCTACCGGTATTCCTTCAATTTCACCAATACCAACCTCGAAATCCGGATTGCGATCCGAGTGAGAAAGCATGAAATGCCAAGTCAAACCCATCCTCCCAGGCCACCGCACCGGCACGCATGCTATTCCACCGGCAGATGACCCTCGGCTCCCACCTAGCACAAGTACCCGTACATCACCGTATCCTACTAGGGCCAGGTGAGGCTTGCCTCACTGCTCTTCTCCGACTTGCCGATCGGTACATCCAGGGTGAGGTTTAACAACCTCCGCAAGAGCGAGCACCAACCTCCCCACTTCCCCAGGTTGGGTCAAATGAGAGTGAGAAAGCATGACGACCGCCGACCGAGGGGCGTCGGAACTTACCCGCCACAGCACGATTGTCCGGAGAAAGTCTACGAGAGCAGGGCGGTGTTACATTAGCTACACCAATCGGGGGATGGGCCAAAGGTATGAGTACTCGTACTAGTACATGCCCTACCGAGTCGCGCCCTACACCCCGAGCTGCTTGTGCTACGGTCCTTACGTCCGCGTTTCGGATTTTCGCGGGGGGAAGTGGAGAAGGAGGGTGATGATTGGGTATGGTTAGGTTGGGTTTGATTACGGCGGCATAGCTTGTGTGGTACTGCAGGTGATAATTGGCGTTAAGCTGGGAATTTTAGGTTCGAAGGGGGGGGGGCTTTGATGTTGTAATGGGGGTAGGAAGGGTTGTGTTATATGCCTCCATCTCATGAGCGGCGAAGGAAAAGGCTGGATTGCTGTGGCGTTTTAAATTTACACGGTATTACGCTACATGACCGTAAAGTGGAGTGAAGTGTGTGCGAGAATGACGCTGTGCCTGTACTGGGCGGGTGTGGGTTATTCCGGAGGCAATGATTGTGGAGGGAGAATACCGGTATGATGCTGTACAAGTACTCGTAAGGACTGGGCAACAAAAGAAACGTGTCTCCCGGCTTTCCATATAAAACATAGCCAATTTGTATGAAATTTTGCATAGCAACAAGGCATGCCAACTTCATCATGACTCTGTGTTAGTGTTCAGGACCGTCAACAAAGATGAAAAATTCATAATGCCAAACTCCCCATTGATTCCCTTCCTATTACCAAGGTTTGGAGGAGGAGTATTTAATGTAGTTTATTTTAGTAGCGAATTGGAAATCGGAATTTTGTATGGAAAACCTGGTGGGGGGGAGGGGCACGTTTCTTTTGCTCCCAGGATCACACAAGAGGGATGTGGGTATCTTTATTCAAGCAGATGTTCTATCGATCATTTCATACCCCCCCCCCCCATCGCGCAGAGCTTTTCTAACCTCTTCCTCCTCGAGCCCCTACAATCTTTACTACGGCGCCCCACCCCACCCTGTAAGCGCAAGTGCTTGTCCCAGATTCAAGTACTGTACTCGAGTACACGACCACCCAAAAACAGGGGAGGGATACCGGTATATTTGCATTGGGGCTCAGATACTCCCAGGTTTTTTGCTATACATTCCTTTAATCCCGGCTCTCGGATACTCCTAGCCTGGGACAAGTATTGTACCGAGAATTGTAAACTGGAGCCAACGATCCATCGAGTACCATTACTGGTAGGCTCTTTTATCCAACTTCCTCTCCTGGGCAACTTGCCCCATTACCTACCATATGTAATAGCGTTTAACTAGCGTACCGGCAAGGAATTATTAGTAAAGCTATCATAGAGGCAGAGGTTTACATGGCTCTCATGTCATGCCAGGAGGGTAGACTACGTTATGCTATGCCCTGCGGCAGAGCACCTGAGCTGCTGTACTGTAATCTCGTTCTTCCTGTCAAAACCCGCTGTTCTGCTGCCGGCGCGTATCGCGAGTAGAGTGAGCAGGTACAGTACCGGTACTTTAGTCATCCGTCTCAAGATGTCGAGGGTGATGGTGATACACGCTTTCGAAAGAGGTGGGAGTGGAAGAGGAGAACAGGCTGCTGAGTGTGGTTAGTCAACTTGGAGTAGTGATCTGCGTTGTGTAGCAATAGTGCCTAACCGCCCGGGAAGCTTCGTAAGTGGGTGGCTTCGGTGCCGTCCGGAAGTGGAGGGGTGAGATGTAGCATAGCACTGCACTGCACTGCCACACTATGATATCGATGCGGTGCTCGTATAGTATCGCATTCGCTGCGCTGTACTGTACTCTGCTCGTGGCCGTACCTCTCTACAGTATGATACTTGTATCCTCTTTCCCTCTCTGTCTGCATGCTTGTCTAAAATTGCACTGCCGGAACACTGGCTGCAGCGTGTAAATCGTGTACTGTACTCGTGTACTCGAGTATCATACCAGCAAGGTTCCCACAACCCACAGCAGCCGCCAAGAAGGCGGCTCTCTCACTGTCTATTTTTCCCCACGCCTGATCAGTGTGCCACTCAACCACTGTAGACGGCCCAATACAGTAAGTTCCTACCCCGGCACTGTGGGAGCCGGCTCTAGGATGCGCCCTGCCAGCGAGCGAGCAATTGGGCAAGAAGGAATGTATAATTATGTACGGAGATGTACGAGCAGAAACGAGACAGGACAAGGTGAGGGCATGTTCACTGTTGGTACCAAAGGGATAGACAGCGGTAGGCAGGATAGATGCTATTACCGGTACTCGTACAGTATGATACTCGCACCGTACCGTACCTATTCAAGGTTCGTTCTCGTGGGCGATTTTTTTTGAAACGGATGGGCGATCTGGACCGGGATTTTTTAAATTTATCTATTGCTCTATGTTTTATTTTTTCACATTCTTCCACCGCGCGGTAGGGTGAGGAGGAGGAGGAGAGTTTGGTTCGTTCGTCGGATGAGACGGAAAGAAGGTCTACCGCAGTTCCCCTCACCATTGGAATAGACTAGCTCTGGCTGGCGAGCTTTATCACCCATCCTTTGAATTTACAGCGAGCTTGAAACAATTAAATTATCGGTGGAGCAAGTCGAATGCGACTAGAGTACAGTACACCTTACGTCTTGGATCGTGCGAGTAGGAGCAAAGTGCAGTGCAATTAGACTTCCTTACCTTGCTAATGGCATTGGGAGTCTGTCTATCTAGCGAGATTACTCTGCCTCCTCTCATCAACTCTCGACCCTCTCTACTATATACCATTACGTAGTGAGAGGGATGAGCACAGTTTTTACAATCATGCAAAACCGAAACCGAAAATTTGGCTCAATGAGATGAACATTTCACTCTTCGCGGAGCACCAATGCCACTACCACTCCCATACAGTGCGCGAGCACATCGGACTAAAATCTTCCAAAAGTAGGTCAGGGGCAGCAGAGCGGGGAATTTTTTAATAGTCCCATAGGGGGGGGAGGGGAGGGGAGGAACAAAGGTACAGTATTCACTCGAACGAATCATAAGCGAGTGCCAGAAAGTGCGAATCTTCGGCTGCAACAACAGCTTCATCTGGAGAAGAGGCAGCAGCGGCAGTCTGTCACACTACGAGTAGAAGTTTGTCCGTTCAGCGCCTCTGTGTGGCTTCTCGCCTAACGAGCCGTTATCGCTACTATACTTGTAGTGGGCCATCAGGATCGTTTCTTCTCATTCAGGGGTACCGTGAATGACTGCCCAGCCTCGTTCTGCGCGTACTCGAATACCTGTACTGCATGCTTGAGTGGTTGATGGCCTCTCACTTTCTTTTCTTGCCCCCGTTGATTTGCGTTGGTTAGCTTGGTCCCTTGCAGGTCGATCATGAGGGGATGGCCAGGGGTCAATTAGTCTTCGTCTGCACGGTACGGATTGACCTAATCATCGCATGGCGAGAGGCGAACTTTTTTTCTTCATTTATCTTCCCTGTTATGATGGCTGATTCTTACTGGCTTTTTCGTGTCACGGCGCAGCTGAGTACCCTGTTACCGTAAGCAGGCGGTTGTTCAAACAGGACTGATCCTTGGCCTCGGGTCCTTGAGTGGTCATGGTTTCCTCTAGAGCTCAATGGACGAAACGAAGCTGTTTCACCAAATCTGATTGCTCGACGGGAATGGAGCCTATCGTGGCAGAGTGGTGCTCAGTGGCGGCCTTGTCTTAACCACACAGACCAGTCTCACCCTTGCTGGCTTGTCTCTCGTGATATTGCAAGTAAGGATGATTGGCGGGGTCTGCCCCTCCTTACAGGCACAGTACGTACGTATTAGTGAAATCCCAAAGGGGGTAGTAAGTACAGTAGAGACAAAAAAAAAAAGAAAAAAAGAGGGAACACAACTGGACGGGAGGAGTGGGGGGTAGAGGTAGTACTTGTAGTAGGAACTAATAGGTACATTCGAGGGGGCCGTTCGCGATATATAAGATATTCTGCTCACCCACCGGAGAGTCCTTTTTTCTCACTCACCATCCTTCTTTCTCCACAGGAAAGCATTAGCACTGGTACAGGTTACCTTCATTCCTTTATTTTCTTTCTCTCCATTTTCGCACATTCTTTCCACAGGCCTGCGGCCTCTTTTTTTTTTTATTCAAGCGAAATAAAGAGCCCTTCGAACGACCGTTCATACATTAATTATCTTTTTTTCAGTGAAAAAAGAAAAATCCCCCAATATCCCACAACCCCTTCTCTAACGGACCGCCCTTAAATCTTATCGCTCGATATGAAGACTTCATTCTCTGCCTTGGCCGCCTTGGCCGCCGCTTTGCTATTGAGTTCGGCGAATGCCCACGTCAATCTCAAGTCGCCAGTTCCGTTCAGAACTTCGACACAAGCACCCCAGAATGCGATACAGCAGGACTTCGACATGAAGGCTCCTCTCGACAAATCTGGCAGCAACTTCCCTTGCAAGGGATATCACAAAGATGCCAAGGGAACTCAGCCCCTCGTCGATTGGCCAGCCGGGAGCACCCAGACCATGAGCTTTGACGGATCAGCGACTCATGGTGGTGGATCTTGCCAGGTTTCATTTTCTGAGGATGGAGGCAATACCTGGAAGGTCGGCAAGTCCTTCGTTGGAGGATGCCCGCTCAAGGACATTAGCTTCACTGTTCCCAAGGAGACCAAGAATGGTCCCGTTTTCGTCGCTTGGTAAGCTATCTAATCCTTCATATCTCTCCCAAAGACCTTGAATTAACAGAGCAATTAGGACATGGTTCAACAACGTGGGCAACAGAGAAATGTACATGAACTGCGCCGCCATCACCAACACTGGCGGTGGGCAGGGTTTGTCTGCATACCCCGACATGTTCAAAGCGAACATAGGAAATGACTGCACGACCGAGACGGGCGACCTCGCATTCCCCGACCCGGGCAAGAACGTTGAGGGCTCGGGAGGTGTCCCGCCAGTCGGAGGGGGCTGTGGCGCAACTGGCTCGCAGCCACCTGCTGGCGGCTCACAGTCCTCCGCACCACCTGCAGCTGGCGGCCCATCCTCGACCTCAGCACCACCGGCAGCTGGCGGCCCATCCCCGACTTCCACTCCTTCCAGCAGCAGCGTCGCCAGCAAGCCAAACGGCAGCAAGCCCAGCCCGAACCCCACCCTCAGTAGCGCCCCCCCACAGCTCACCCCCACCAGCGGCTCACAGGTCACCTCCCCCGCACCCTCAGGGACAACCAAGACATCTGTTCCTGCGGGAACCCCATCCTCGGTACCTAGTGGAACTGTCGCTCCTGTTCCTTCCTCTCCCGCCCCGGCCCCATCCACCGCTCCCTCTCAATACCCGCAACCCTCCACCGGCGGAGCTTGCGTCGAGGGCGCCATCACATGCAATGCCGATGGAACATGGAGCCAGTGCGGAAGCGGGGTCAACCAGAACATGGGCAAGACTGCCCCCGGAACTGCCTGTGCGAACGGCGGGACGAAGCCTATCAAGACCAAGCGTTTCATTCGCTTCTCAAAGGAGCATATGGCTCGTAACGCTTAAGCCCTTTATTCCCCCACCATTGGCATACGCGGTGTCATCCCCAAAAAGTCTTCTTCACGGTTGGATTCGAAAATTAGAACACAGTCCAGTTTGCACTGTTTATTGTATTTTTACCCTTTGTATTTTATTTGTAGTAGTTTGGGATGCATTGGCCCGGTGCTTTGCTTTTTGCTGGAGATGTTGCATTGTTTTCTTTCTTTTCTTTTGGATGGGGCTGTTTTGTGTATAATTGAAGTTATCGTTACTTTCTCTCCCAACCATTCATTGATTCATCCAAACCACTGCCCACCAGCGTACCGCTCTCCTAAGCGGGCGAGCTCGCGAGTGTCTGAATATCCCAACGATTCGATGGGACAAGGCAATCCCTGCTCACACCAAACCCATAGTTATGATATTTTCCTATCATGCCCTACATCGACACTTTGTATCCGTACAGTAAAAAAATGCCAAACGCCATACCCCTACGAGCTGCCGTATTATATGATATTATACACGTACGATATAAGGCTTTGCCGGGAAGGGAGGAAGCTAGAGCTTAGCTGAACGGGTACTCGAGTAGAGGAGCGCTACAGCATGATGCTTGGATTGACTACGGTACGCAGCTGACTGGGCAGTTGTAGGCCAAAGATCGGTGTTTTTGGGCTGGTTCGGAGGGGAGGGGGCACAGTTGTAGTAGTGAGAAAGGCCCTCCTGAGCTGTATAGTAGCTCGGTCTGTCGGATCGGGTACTCTATCACACCGGTATCAAGAGTGCCGGCAAGCGAACAACGAATCACACCCAGCTGACAAAATTCAGGAGAGCAGGGGGGGGGGGAAACATGTCAGTCATTGCCGCGGTCCCCGGGGGTGGGCTTTTTTCTCTCCTATTGTACTCGGGTATTTGGGCTTAGCTGGATTGGGGAAGGGCGTGAACTTTACCGAGTGATTAGAGGTGATCAGCTTGGTGAAAAGGTTGGGAAAGGTTGCTCGATGCACTGCACCGGGATGACGCGGTAGGCTTGCGATTTTCGAGACGATGTGTTTCCGAGGGTGGTATTGTAAGTCAGGGGGTCGGAAAGGGCGGACTTCGATGAAAGCCACATCTGGATATTTTCGGGAGTTTAGAAGCACGCGTCTTCCCCTATCATAG